GTGGTCCCATGTTGGTTCCTGCACAAATTTCTGGCTTCTCTCGTGTTCGAATCGGTAGCATTTGCTCGAGCAAGCCCATGAACCCACACCGTTTTCCAAACACTGTCCGAATGTGTCTAAATTGCCAAACATCAGAATTAATAAATAAAAAATAAATGTTTATTTTTTGTAATTACCCAATTTTTGACTCCGCTTCTTGATGACAGGTTTAGCGCAAAAGCTCCCTCCGCAAGGAGTCGGGGAGCGTTTGGAAGCTCCGTTGCAGTGCGGAGCTTCCAAACGCTCCCCGACTATGCATTAGGGCCCGATAAACGGGGGCAATCGCCGGGTTTGTTGGTGCCCTCGTACCTACACACGAGCACAATCAGCGAGAAAATTACAAACAGTTGTTTGAACATGTTGGGACCACTTTGAAATTTTCGACAAGAATAAATCAGGAGCTAATAATCCCGATATTTATTTGAAAAAAGCGGAAGCCACAATTGCCAAAATTTGATTGACTGCAGCGACGAGACCAATTAATTATTATAGATTAAGTAAATATGTGATAATTTTGCGGTTTGCGATGGGAATTAGGCTATTGTTAATTTATCAAATTTGTTAATGAGAGGAACCAATCTTGAGTGGTCCGTCCCCGTCGTCTTTTGCTTATCTGTTTGATTATTGTTTTTTAGACAAACTGATTTAAATTTTAATTTTAAATTAGTGTTGAGGATTTTTTTGTGAATCTTATTACACCTCCAATTTCACTACGATATTTTTGGAATAAGCACGTGAAGATCTACATCCCTGATTTTTTTGAGAATTTTTAGACAACTTTTTCAAAGATATTATTTTTATGTAAATTTTGCCCCATTTTCGAGCATTTTTGGAACTTAACTAAATACATTTTCTGGTAAATTTCCGACCGTAGAAGTCGCTTCCGGCGTAATTTCTTCAATAACTCCAACCCTTTTTTCAAAATCGCCCATCGAAATATCGCAATTTTTAGAAAATTCAAAAAATTCGAATTTCACACCAATTATTTCGAAAATATTACTCCTTGTGCAACAAACATGCTATATTTTTGGAATTACCACGTCGAGATCTAGATCCCTAAATTTTTTGAGAATTTTTAGACATCTTCAAAGATGAAATTTTTACTATGTATTTTTTGTAAATTTCGACCCATTTTCGACCATTTTCTAAACTTAACTAAATACATTTTCTGGTGGAGTTTCGACCGTAGAAGAAGTAGAAGAAATTTTTGAAATTTTAAAAAATTCGAATTTCACACAAATTATTTCGAAAATATTGGTCCTTGACCATAAGCACGCTATATTTTTGGAATCAACACGTCGAGATCTATAACGCTGAATTTTTTGAGAATTTTTAAACGACTTTCTTAACAATGAAATTTCCTACTGTTTTTTTTTCGACCTATTTTCGACCATTTTGAAACTTAACTAAACACATTTTGTCATAGATTTTGGGTCGCAGAAATCACTTCCGGCCTCATTTTTTTCATAACTTTGACCGTTTTTCCAGAATTGTTCATTGAAATATCCCCATTTAAAAAAAACGGGAAAACGTAAAAGTAGAGAGTCGACCGACGGACTCGATTGCAATACGTTTGCTTACGCTCGTGAAGTAAAAAATCAAAAAATTCGAATTCCAGTCCGAATATTTCGAAAATATTGCTCGGTGACCCTAAACACGTTATATTTTTGGAATAAGCACGTGAAAATCTATGACTTTGAATTTTTTGAGAATTTTTGACAACTTTTTAAAATATGAAATTTTCTACTAAGCATGTACTTTTATGTAGATTTCGACCCATTTTCAAAACTTAACTAAAAACATTTCCTGGTAAATTTCGGGCGTAGATGTCACTTCCGGCGTAATTTCTTCGATAACTGCAACCCTTTTTCCAGAATCGCCCATTGAAATACTGCAATTTTTAGACATTTCAAAAAATTCTAATTTAACATCAATTATTTCGAAAATATTGATCCTTGAGCATAAACACGTTATATTTTTGCAATCACCACGTCGAGATCTAGATTCCCGAATTTTTTGAGAATTTTTAGACAACATTTTCAAAAATGAATTTTTCTACTGTTTTTCTTCTTCCAGCCATTTTCGACCATTTTGAAACTTCACTAAATATATTTTCTAGTAGATTTCAGTCTGTAGAAATCACTTCCGGCGTAATTTCTGCGATAACTCCAACCCTTTTTCCAGAATCGTCCATCAACATGTCGCAATGTTTAGAAATTTCAAAAATTCGAATTTTACACCGATTATTTCGAAAATATGGGTCCTTGATCATAAACACACTACATTTTTGGAATCAGCAAGTTGAGATCTAAATCACTGATGATTTTTGAGAATTTTTAGACAACATTTTAAAAGATGAAATTTTCTACTATGTATTTTTATGAAAATTTCGACTCATTTTCGATCAGTTTCGAAACTTGACTAAATACATTTTCTGGTAAATTTCGGGCGTAGAAGTTACTTCCGGCATCATTTCTTCGATAACTCCTACTGTTTTTCCAGAATCGTCCATCGAATTATCGCATTTCTTAGAAATTAAAAAAAAAATTGAATTTTACACCAAAGATCTTATATTTTTGGAATCAGCACTTCGAGATCTAGATCCCTGATTTTTTTTTTTGGAATTTTTACACAACTTTTTCAAAGATAAAATTTTCTACTAAGTACCTATGTATACTTCTCTTATGTAAATTTTGACCCATTTTCGGAAGAAGGGTTACACTAATGGCTGAAATTTAAAAATGGTCGAAGTTTCAAGAAGGTCTAAAATTTTTAAGAATTTTACTTCGTCAGTCCCTAAATAGTTTTGAAAAATTTTCAAAATTTTTCACTGCACACTGCAATTTTTAAAACTATCGTCTTAACGTATTCAGTATTTTAAAACTAAAATATTCAAAAATAAATACTTACTTATTGTTAAGATCACATCGAAAAAGAAACGTTTCATTTCAATTTTTTAAATTGTTAATAATATTAGGATCTCTAACAAAATTTCCAATGTACTCGAAGTAGAAAATTTAATATATTTTTGATTTAATGATTTTTTAGAATATCTGCCATAAATATACTAAGTGACATGGGAATCAGAACACCCAGTAATAGTAACAATATTTTATTAATTTTTTTGTATACATGTATTGTGTATTAGTATAATAAGATAAGTAAACGATCAGTTTTTCTGTCATATCCGTAGTAGTATTCGCCAAGATAAGACTGATTTTAGCAAATGACACATCCCTAGAAAAAAAAGGGCGGATGGGCGGGGCTAGTACCTGTTACAATAATTAAGATAATCCCTGAAACTACCGAAAAAATAATTTAAAAACAACAATTTTTTGTCCTTGGAACTCTCCGAAAATTAGCCAAGGGCATTTTTTTATGAATATAGGTTTGTAGAAGTTATTTTCGTTTCCAGTTCTTAGAAAATTTCAACAATTTTATTAGAATTGATCAAATGAAAAAATGTCAATTTTCGAAGCAAAAAAATTCATTATCAAACCAAATTTTTCGAAAATTTTAGTCCGGGGGCATTAATACTTTCGGTTTTTCAAATAAGCTGTCGAGATTCATATCCCAACATTTTTTTTTGAGTATTTTCAAGCAACCTTTCAAAAATCTCAAATTTTCAATACCCTGCTCCACCGTATAAATTTTTTCAGCGTTTTTCGAGCATGAATCGGAAATTACTAAAAGACATTTTCTTGTAGATTTCAACTGATTTTTGTAGGTTACAATTTTGGACTTGATATCATCAAAAATTCCAATAATTTTTCCAGAACTGATAAAATGAAAAACAACAATTTTCAAGATGTATGTATGTCATGTTTTTTAATCACTTCAAATTTTGATCATTTACTTCTACTGCTGTAATAACCACGTATATTAAAAATTATTAAAATGTGCTTACTATTACTGGGTATTCTGATTTCCATGTCACTGTCACAAACATTAGAGGCTTTAAGATTAACCAGAATTTGTTTAATCAACTCCACCAACAATAGTAAATGTTATTTAAATTTAAAAAAATAACATACTGAAGTGGTTTATGAATCCGATTTTTCGAAAAAGTCAAAATTGTATAACAACACTTTGTAATTTAAACTTTGAAACCGCAAAACCAGATACTTTGAAATTTTGACGTTTTAAGACCATCTATGTTACATTGTAGATATCAAAATTAATAGATACATTGATCACCACCATATTTATAATTTATTAAAAATTTCTATTGCGATATTGAATCCCACAAACTTGCCTAACTTTTTTATGTGTTGATTAGCAGAATGTATTTTTACACATCCGACCCATAACTTAAAAAAAAGGTATGTGTGTCACTTAGATTACACGAAAAAACTGGTACATAAAACGATACAGATAAAACATCTTTTGGACATAAAAATTACATTCCTATTGATTTCAAAATCGTGAATGCACGTGTAGTCTGTGACACTTTCGAAAATTTAAATAATTTAATTTGAGTTACAAACAAACGTCTTATCAATCGTAACAATTTGTCCAATGTAATTTAAACTATACAGCTTAAAGCAAAACGGTGTCTACAAATAGTACGAAAACATCATTTGCATCTTATTAGAATATTGAAACCCGACTGATTTGATTTTTAATTTATACTCACACCTTGCAACATCTATTTTCTTAATAAACAGTTATCAAGATTTAAATACAGTCTTATCTACAATAAATTATCTCCCCTTGAAAAAACTGAGAAAATTACAGAAAATTATAATCCCGCACTTCCTATTAAATTCACATTAATTAAACAAATCGCCTCTTACGATTTTTTGCAGAAGTAAAAGTTTCCAAAAAACGAGCATATGCATTTGCCCTTAATCGCCGTCCTTATCTTTTTACCTTTCACGTCACACAAAAACTATTTTTTGAAATTTAGCGCCTCAGGCGCCGCTGCTAGTGCCACGACAATCCAACTGGTGCCTCCGTTGGCCAACCTGTTGAAGTGACAGGTGACAGCTAAAATGGAGGTGTGTTGATATTATAATTTGATCTCGTATTTTGCATTTTCTTTTCCTTCTACTACTAATTAAATTAAGTCACGATGAGTAATCACCACAACAATGGCTCAAGAGCGGGCGAAACGGAACAGATGGCGCCTTCGCAGTGTCTCAAGGTTTTTATACAAAGGGATTATAGTGAAGGGACAGTAGTGAAATTCCAGACTAGGTTTCCGCAGGAGTTAGACGGCAGGGTGAGTTTTCACTTTTCGTGTATATAAGACAAAAGTACACTCGTTGTTTACAGTTAGAAAGGCAAGCGTTCGAGGCCACTATCAATAGACTGAATAGCTATTTCGCAGAGGCAGAAAACGCCACTTGCTCCACGTACTGCGAGGGTTGTTTGGCTTGTCTCACTGCCTATTTAATTTATATTTGTAAGGAAACTCATTATGAAAAGGTGGGTATTTTGAGCACGCGGCACCTGATTTGCTCCCAGTTTATGTTCTTTCCCCATCCTTTTTTTTATGTGAAAGAGGTTTTGTGATTTGGACAATGACAAGGACGTGATAAGAACAGGTGATAACGGTTCGTCATATGCAAATTTGTGTGTGGAGGAGGTTTTTTGGTTATGTTTGTTAAATAACAATGTTTGTACTTGTTATGTTGGTATTATGTAAATTGGTGCCCACTTTGTTTTTAAAGGGCGACTGAATAAGTTTTGTGAATAAAAAAGATGTATGAAGTTTGTAAATATGTATATAATATACATAACAAAACACTAGTTACTTGTCGTATTAAAGGCAATTTAAATTTTACATATGAAAAATATAGATTTAATTGTAAAGAACCAGCATTATCCAAGGTTTTAAGGTGAATCATTATTAATATAATTAATTACTATACTCAGGTTGTATATTTCAAACAGGATTTTTAACATGCAGTTGTTAATTACAGAATTACATTGAAATTTCAATTCTTGGACATGTTTTTTCTGTAGTACAAACATAAATGACCTTAACCTGTAGTAGAGTGCACATTGTGACATATAAATTGTAAGAGTGAGAGTGTTGTAAAGTATTGAACAAGAATATGGTTGGTGATAATTTTTTTGTATATCATAATCACAACAAAATGCTTAACTGTGCACTATTTCCTATTTTTTGCGTCACGATTAAGAGTAATTTTGTTTTCATCACTTTTGGACTAGCTAGCATGACTTTGAAATTCCTAGTTTTTAATTTAAACTGTTGATCATTACTTAACGAGAAACTATAAATTATTAAAGTACTAAAAATAGTTCTAATTCTTTAGAAGTAAGTAAAATCCTGACAAAGAATTGTTATCATAAATATCTAATATCGTTGACGTAACATTCTATGTAATCCAGTTAATGAAAAACACAGATTCAAAAAATTGTAAGAATTATGAATGAGAGTTGTATAATTTTAATTTATTCAGACACAGGTGTATACTTTATTGTACGCATTGGTTCTGTGCCAAAAATTTAATTGATACATTTTTAGTATTCTTAGGTGTTTCTAGTGTGACACTAGCGATGTCGCGTTTGATATTTTCTTATGTTATAGAAAAAACTTCTCAAAAAAGCTATTTGTTTGAAAAATTAATTTTACTTTTGTGTAACTTATTAAACATCAATGAATGCGGGATCACATTGCCTTCAAAGAAACGATTTTATTCATATAGATACAAAAACTAATCATGTCAGTCCTAATCGTTGATAAATAATGATCTTAATGTTCGCTTTTCCTGCAGCATGATTTAACTTTTTGCTGTGCAATAATAGTTCGCACGATCTCTTTGCCTATTATAATTTTTCTTTGCGAAAATAGGTCGTTGTATTTTATTTGAAACTGTCACACCAAACGCAGAAAAACGACAAACTGTCAGGAAAACTTCGCACTCCTCTCTTTTCCTTCTCCTTTCTCTTTCGCACACCAATTGATTGCGCACTTCCGCTTACTGACGAGGTTTCTGTTGCAGTGTCTCAAAAAAGTGTCAAAGTTTGTAGCGGAACAAAACCAGACTGTATACGAACCAAGAGGTCTAAAATTGACAGACCCCAGCATGCGAGGACTGAGAGTGATAGAAATAAGTTGTCTAGATAGGCCCCCAAACGCATGACTTACATTGTCGCACTCCACCCAGGAGTTTTTTATGTAAGATGAAAAAAAGAAAATTTTGTCAACAATCCTATATCTACTGTTTAGACTGCTGTATTTTTAGTTGGACAAAGTGATAATCGTTTGATTCGCTAATAAGCAATATTCGACGGTTCTTCCATTTTTTTCGGGTCAAAATTGCGTGCATTTTCGTTTCGTTGTTGTCCAACTCAAAAATCAAAATACAATCTCCCTATGTATTGTGAAAAGGGTGTTGTAAAAAAAGAATAAATGTTTTCATGTTTTCCAAATTAAGTAGAACGTTATTTTCGGGTATGTTCCGTTGTGGAATTTCGATCACCACACGCGAATGACGTGACGCGAGCACTATTTTCGCTGTAAAAGTTTTTTGAGTGGTGTGATGCGTACTTTGTGTATTGAACAAATGACGAGCACTCAGTGGCGGGCGGGCGGTATTATTTGCGCGTACGTTGGAAAAATATTGGCTCGGTTACGCCACTGGTGCCAGAGAGATTTTTCATTTGGGTGGTGCTATTATTCTACTATTGTGTTACTTTGTCTAAGTAAGTCCGATGTATTGTGTTAAGTGGTTACTAATATGTTTATAATTATTTTTATACTTGTAAATGGTTTTTATTATGTGTATGTTATTATTTATTACTTAACAGTTTTTTTGGAAATTCTAATAAATATTTTGTCTATTCGCGTTGGCTCATTTCCGAAGTCGTTCCAAATTTTGGCGACATAATTGAATTTAGTCGATGTTCCCTATGTCAGAACTAGAACTATGTCACGTAAGAATTTAAGTCGCTTTATTGTAGTGGTCGAGGTAAAAATATTTTATAAGAGTCAAAGAAACTCCAACCTACTTTTAATAATTGCTTTTTAATTAAAATAATTTTACTTAGAATTGGCTTTCGTTGAACCGCAAACGAGGATAACTAGTGAAACTTGTCGTGTGACGTTGGATTTACTCTTCTTGTTAGCAGCGATTCTTATTAAACAAATAATTACTTGTAATATGAGAACAAGGAACTGATAAATTTCAGTACGCTTTTTTGAGGCAATAATCGTGTTTACAGAGCGAAAAATGTTTAAAACCGCCAATCGATCTAAAGTAGAACAATTTGTAGCAAATCAAGTCTTTAATTAACCAGCATATATGTAAATAAAAGTGATCCTTGTGTTATGACCACTTCATCTGATTGACACGAACTAGAGAAAGTCAAAAGTCTGTTATCTCTTTTTTGGAAGTGAAATAAAGAAACATGCTTCTGTTTTCCAAATTACTTCTTTATTCTCTATATACATTTTATTTGCTGTTAGATACAAATATAATTACAAAATGTCTTTTTGAATTCAAACAATACCACTCGTCCTTCTTTCTTTGTAAAAAAATCCATCCCTGCTGACGTAAATAATGAGCATTTCCAACTTTTCTACAATATCAATGACAATGTAAGAAAATTTCAATGACATCTTATAAATGGGGTATGTCACAATATGCAACACAGCTTGTGTTTATTACGCTTCAGCTTGCCCAAGGGAGGCATCTGCTGAACGGCTGGAGTGGTGTGAAGAGTTTGAACTGTTAATTCTATATCTTTGGTCTCTTCTGTATCTGAAACATCGAAAAATGTCGTTACATTTAAAGGAAACCAGTAACGGCGTGACGCAAGGGCCCGCCACAGCTCCACTGTTATTTCTTAAAAGCTTAAAAGCTTTTTATACAGAACAAATTGAAAGATTTGTTTACTGAAAGAGTTTAAGCCCACCTGCGAACGCCTCGACGGGTTTGTCGATGGTATCGTGATCAATCCACGTAAGGCCCATTTCGACTTTCTCCGCTAAATCCTGCCAATGCCTCCTATTTTCCACGGTCCCTTGATACAAGGGTTTAACCCAGGGAAATGTTTCGGATAAAACTCGGTATAGCGGTAAACAAATGACATCGATAAATCCCACTTGCATTTGAGGCAATTCGTCTTTCCGTTCGCGATCCATCATCGCCTAAGAAAAAAAGGAAAACGACAAGAAATTGGAAATCCGTGAAAAATCGTTCTACTTACGATGGGTTGTTCCTTCAGCTGCATTTTTTCCATGTCACCTTGATCGAAAAACTCGTCGGCCACGAGTTTGGCGACTCGGTGCTGGACGTCCCAGGGCTTGGCGATGGCACTGACGTCACAAGCCGTCATCATCATCCCGGAGAGCACTGAAAACGGAGATTGTGATTAGAGAAAAATTGGTAGTTTAATTAGGAGATACGACAGCTCGGGGGCTCCCGTTTCCGTCGTTTGAGCTAAACTTGGCAAATAACCCTCCAAGGGGAGTTATCTTAACCATTAGCATTCCGATTGTTATTAAACGGAGTCTGAGATGACACCCCTCACTTAATTATCCACAACAAATAGCTACCTCGCTGCGCCTCGCATTTTATATGCGATCGTTAAGACCGAGCCTTTAATTAAGTCGAGCTCTTAAAATACTAATTACAACTTTACCAAGTTGACTTACATTCCTTCTTGTCGTCACTCTGCCAGTCGAATTCACCGTTGTCGATCAATTCCAGGAATTTATTCCGCTTTTTGAAATACATCGCTAAGTCAGTCGATAAAATTGCCGTCTCCACCAGTTTCATTACTCTGCGGTAATCCTCCGTGGATAAAGCCTACAACACAGGCACGTGATCATCTCGGAAAAACACGACTTCGGTGACGCGGGGGTGTGACCAAGTCGTTGCTTCAGCGACAGAAAGTCTAAATTATCTGCTGTCGGGTCCACTGAATCTCAAAATATATATCCGTGCTGAAAGGGACACCCGATCCTTTCGATATACGAGAAGTTTTGAAGCACGACAGTGTGTTTGTTTGCTAAGGTCTGAACACGGGACACTAAATTGACAAGTTTACACACTGTTGAAACTAAAAATGTATTCCGAGTATGCAGTTCCGTTGTAAGAAGAGACATAATCTGGGTTACACGCTAAAGCAAATCGACTTTTTTTTTTGGAAACAACGTGTGTTCACGTGCGGCCGCAACCGCCCTTCCATTTTAACATATAGAAAACTAAAGCGTTTAGTTAGACGTCTGCTGAAACTAATAGTATATTACGTAATGAGAGTTGTAAGAAGCATCTTACGCACGAATGGAAAAGTTGCGCACGAGCTGCGAAGCGGCGAGTGCGTATTTCCATGAGTGCGTAAGGGCTTTACAACTCGAATTATGTACTATACTTTTTCTACGAGCACAGACAAAATCATTTTATTCATAAACATTAACATTTTAGTTTTATTAGATATTGTAATTATTTGTAGTAATTGTTTATTGTCACTGTACAGTTGTTAAACACAAGGGAATGGTCGGTAGTATTAGTTTTCTGGCTACTTGTACTCTGACTACAGGATGCAGTCACATTATGTTCTGAAATAGTGTCATGGTTTCATTGTAGTTGACAACTCTTCAAAATATGCCAACATTACGTTTTCTGACAACGAATTTACTTTATTTTTTATTTTCCATTCCATAAATTTTTGGTAGACGATTTCATATCTTTCACGCGACTTTCTGGGCAATAGATTGTCGATAGCCATTTTGGCCTTTTCAATTATCTCCGGCGGCGTGCACATTAATTCATCACTATCGCTAGACATTTTAGACTACAATTAAATAGAATCCGTAAGAGAGAAATGTTGATATTTTTTGCAGTAAATGTTACCTTGCTCGTTTTCTTCTTTTAAAATTCTTTGATTATGCCTCTTTTATTAACAGTAACGCTGACAAGTGCTTCACAATTTTGTATTTGCCTGTCCGTCTTGTCATTTTCACTACCAACCTAAACTGAATAAATCGAAAAATCCCTAACTGTGCGATTTGCTTTTCTTACGCACGCTGTGCGTAAGGACACGCATACATGATTAGCGAGTTGTGTGATCTTGACGATTTACAGTGGTGATCGTAGAAAAATGTAATTTTCCGGGGACGAGGAGATCCCGACTTTTGATAATGTCGAAGTTTTCGGTATTAATAATGAACCCGTCTTGTAACTCTCTCCTAAAACTAAGCAAACAGTTACTTTACTTTCGGAGTAAAAGAGCGACCTGAATTTTAGATATGCATGAAGTTCGTTTGTTTGCTCAGTTTTGAACCCGAGAAACTAAATTGTCAGGTGTTCCTACTGAAAATTTGATTGCATGTAGCTCCGCGTCTAGAACTCCAAAGACTGCCTTCACAAAATAAATACTACTTGTGTCATGTGAGAAGAAACAAACAATCTGGATTAAATAGCAAATCGACTACCCGCTTTGGAAACAACGCGTGTTTCTACCCACTTCTCACGAGTTCTTACACGTGCGAATGCGTCCGTCCTTGATTTCAAACAACAAGAGGACTAAAGCGTCTAGTTAGGAATCAGCTGAAACCAAACCGATAACCTCCACTTTCTGGGAATGAATAACGCGCCTTTCTTTTAAACTCCTCTTAAAATGCAAACTATCGCTTCTTTATCTTGCCGAAAGTCGAAATCTCGATTCCGTTTCGTCTCAAAATCTCCCTAAATCAGTGCTTTCGGTGGTAATAGCCCGCGTCAAGTTTCATTACGGACAAGTGTTCGTCTGACACGTGATCCCTCTACATTACGCGAGATTGAAAACAATTCCGATTCTGTTTTCCGCAGATAATCCTCGCCATCAATCAAAACGTTGTTCGAGCGCACGTAAAAACCCAATGTGTATACATACAACCAAACCCACCTACTTGGAATATATTATTGCTGTCTGTATTGAGGATCATGACGCACTGATCAAAGTGGTGATGTTCCATGGTACTCGTGGAGTACAGAATGGCCAAAGGCGACTCGGTTTTCGTCTGGAAGGCGTTGTTCGTGCCTCTGTGGTCCAAGTCGTGGCACAGACAAGCCACGAGAAGTCCCAGCATCTCGAGGTCGCTCATGAAGCGCTCCATCTTCCCGGTTTTGAACATGGCGAACATGGTTTGGGCGACGTTGAGTGCGTGTCGCCAGTTGTGGTATTTGACCGGGCGATAGTTTTTCTTCACGCTGAGGATCCATCGACAGAGGACCTGCGAAGCCCGACAAAGATAATCGATAAAGGGCTGTTAGAGGCTTCCTTTGATGGGGATTTGCCGTTTTTAATTAAGTGGATGATTGATGGGTAAATTAATTAAGGAGTTATTTTTGACGAGAACTTTACTGTCAACGTTAATTCGTATAATGGTTCAAGTTTAATACAGTTTTACTTGTGATACCGAGAATTTACATTTAAAATGGATTCTTGAATCAATAGAGTCGTGAGCTGATTTAAATGAGGTACTTTGAAACTAGTTCCAAGACGATTTAATTACGCACTGGGAAGTTGAAATTGCGAAATTAGTAATTAATAGGAGGCTGTGTCGGGGGGTTGCGATGTATTTAACTGACGGAGTTTTGTTGATTTTTTTGAGTTTATTGGGTTTAGGGAGTCTCGGCGGGTTGTTTGTTCAAACACTGAGGCACGAGTGGTGTACTGCGCTTTTCGAGACGAAGCTGTTACGAACCGAGGGAATTTATTAGACGGAGCTTAGTAAGGGATTTTTGCTAATAATTAAAAGCTAAAGCACTCAGTTTATCTGAGTTCAACACAGTAGTTGCAACTAGAATTAATTATTTAATAACTTGAGCCAGCGGGATGAATAAAGTAGTGTTCCTCTCGGGTGTTTGCGATATCTGAAAGATTAAAACAGAACGTTCTCGTTGTTTTAGTGCATGAGAGACTAAATTATCCGAAAACTGATTCCGCGAAACTAAAATACATTTTACCATATAGGAGGATACTCGTCAAACGAAATGACGTTCCGGCTACAATTGTTTCGCTATGCACAGAGAAGAGTCTAATTTAACAACTTTTCACTTTACCTAAACTCTCTAAAGTTTCTCCACTCTCTCTGTATCGATTACGTCTGGAGAAAATTTAACAACTTCAGAAAAACGACACACTAAACTCGTAATACCATTATCGGCTCCGTATCGATAATATACTAATTTTCGCAACACCGCAAACGCCGTAAGCCTCCATATTGGAGATTATTACATGGTTTATTACCCACACTCGAGCACAGTAACGACCGCACACCACAAACAATAGCCAACCCCATTAGACAACTATTCAATATCCAATTATCCTAATAATTGACAATTCCATTGTCACAACAAACGTTTATCCTCTCACTAATTGATAGCTGTTAAAAAAACAAGCTGTCAATTACGCAAACGTTTCAATTAAGTTTATCACGCGAACCTTCGATTCGAAAATGCAACAAGGAATTATCCTCACTTCATTTCCGGCTTCGATGCTTTTCCTCAAGTTACAAAGAGGAGTTTTTAATTTCGATGTTCCGTTTCAAACCCGAGATTTAATTTCCTGTTGTGACAACTCTAAGCTTCTACAATGGAGGCAAAATTAAACAAAACCCTTTCAGTGGCCGCAACTATCACAATATTGATATGGCTTGCTTTCATGCCAAGACAATGAAGGGAAGGCTAAGTTTTTCAGCAAGGATGAATTGTGAAAGGGTCTATAGATGCCTAGATTGAGTTACTCGCGTCAAAGGTTCCTGATTCCATACACGTCACTACTTTGTTAAGCCCGCTAAATAAATAGACTTGTCAAAAAATAATCATGAGAAAATTTTTGTCCGATCCTTTCGCTCTACCCTAAGTTCGGATGAATAAAAGTGCAATAACTTCGTAAGTTCGTTGCAAAGGAGCCTAAATTTTCTGTTTTGACTTCTCGTAAACTAAATTTGTTGTTGCTCATTACATTCCGAATCCTATTTCGCCGAGTTCGTGGCACTTTTCCGAAAGTTTTTGCTTCGTTGTTGTGTGGACAGAACCGATTCCCTGTTGAAACTCTGCCAGTTTTAACTCGTCAAGATCCCACGATACATTTAACAAGTCCGTCTCGATTATCCCCAGAGAAATAAAGCATCTAAAGTATATCACCCTCTAAGTGGCTTCTGTCCGGGAAACAATTCACTTAATCCCATCTCCGACAGAAACGTCTCCAGACTTGTTTCTTTTATTTCTCTGGACGAGACTCATTGTACCGTCAGGACCTCGCCGAGACCATTAAGACGCCTCTCAAAAATAGGCACACTCTTACCTCGTACGGAATGTGAAACTGTTGCACCAAATTACACTCGAGGAACATCCGAATGGTCGCTTTGCATGTATCTTCGTCAGACAAATCAAAGTCGATGAAAGTGAAGCTGTACAGGTTGTAGTTTTCAGCTGATGGAATATCCTCCTTGAGTAGTTTTACGGTGGCGTCGTTGCTTGCCGTCGCGTGATAAGAAAGACATTCTAAAGCGACCTTCTGCTTGGCCATGAGCTTACAGGCGTTCTCGTACATTTGGGTATTATGAATACCTAAGCCGCAAAAAATTGCGAACGCTTCGAATAAGGAAACGTCGCAGTCGGTGAATGGAGCGCCGTTATCTTTATTTATTAGCTGGGCAACACCTGCAAACAGAAATCAGAAGGGTAAAGGTCATACATTGTACACACGGTGAAAATGATTGTGATCCTTGACGTTGAACGTCAATTCCAACACAAAGTAAAGCCGCCATCTTACGACTAAAAAGTAGGGGATTCTAAATTATCGAGTTAAATCGCAACTGAAACTGAAAGTTATGTACGTGCAAAAAGGGTCGTTCGATCCTTTTGATAGAACAGGAATTTTGAGAAACGAAACTTAATCGCCGTTCATCTTCCCTGGAGAAGGGTATAAATCACCAACTTGGAAGTCTGTTGAAACTAAAATAAAATCATGTTCAAGGCCACTTTACGCGGCACCCTCGGCGCCTATCATTTTGTTCCTAAAATCCCCAAAACTTCGTGGATTATTGATGAACTATGATAAGGGATTGTCCCTCCTGAATAAATGAAAACTTAGGATCTATTAATGTTAAGAAGGGGCTTAATAATTAAGCGGAGTGTTGCGGATGACCCAGTTCAAGGGGTCGATACGCTCCTCTCTTTTAAGATCAAATATGGATAACTGAAATCTTTTCAAGGGAAGTTTTTGAGACGCGCGACGGCCATTTATCTCCTGGAATGTTTCAAAGTTTGTTCTGGAGTCGGACGTAATAAAGGGGAGTATTTTTGGGGGCCGGGGCGGGAGGGCGGCTTCTATTCGAGTTTCATCAAACAGAAGACCACTAACCACAACAATCGACAAAAACGACGGTGACGTTTTGAGGAATTATGCTTTAACCTGGGACGATTTTTCTTTGTTGGGTGGAGATAATGGATGTGGCGGATGGTTCAGTTTGAGGCAAAAAGAAAATTTCGGTTTGATGGCGAAATGGAAAGTGGGATTTATCGACGGAATGTATTTGTAAAAACGAAAACAGAAGAAACGAAGTGGTGTAGGCTCTTATTTGAAATCGTGGTTTTTAAGCTGAAATTGCGAAGGGTGTTGTCAGACGAATTCCTTTTAATAAGTTTCGTGTTTCTCCATTTAAAATTGAACAAGCATAAATCTCTTATTGTTTCGATTCTTCGCGCATTTAATACCCACATAAATTATTAAGCCCACGAAAGCTCTTTCATTTATGGATTCTCTCTTCCATATATTTTTTATTGGCGGTACTCATAAAGTTTTAACGCTGCGCGCCAGTGGAAGTCGAGTAATTGCGAATTTTCCGGATTTTTTTGTTATGAAACATCGACCAATAAAAACACGAGGAATGGGGTGCAGTTAAATCGTGATTTATAGCAAATTTTCAATAATTCTTGATTTCCATGCAAATTACGTCCCTAAACTCAAAATCTGACACACTAGAATGCGTCAATCCTGCAACTTAGCACTAAGGAATACTAAATCATCATATTACAACACTATTGAAACTAATCACGGATTCTAATACAAAAGGGAGCCACATAATCTTCTCCATAGTCGACAATTTCTCACTACCGACAATGCTATTATCCCATAACAGCAACCAAGACGAACCTAAATTATCACCTTCGAACGTTACTGAAACTCAAACAATTTTCTCCTACGCATACAACTGGAAACTCGACGCAACACAGCAACACAACATTTATTTTACCTATGAGGTTTCTCTGGCCGTTAAGAATAGGCATACAAAGAATAGTCCTTGCCGACTCCGCATCTCCTTCGCTGTGCTGCTCGTTCAGCCACGCTCTCACGTCCCCGATGTTCAAAATTTGACCCGTAGACGCCGCATAACCGGCAATTTGAGCCAGCGTCGAGCTCTGCAAGTCGAACGAGGATGGTCTGGAAACTAAAGTTTTAGTCCCTCCGTCCCTAAGCTCGAAGATCGTGGTAAAGGAACATGGAGCCTTTAAACCACTTTCCCTCATGTCTTCTGCCGTCACCGTCCCACTTTCGACGCGGTTTAAGGGTGCGTGGCGGCGGATTATCCTGCCGGGACGTTCCAGGATGCGTTCGAGGTGATTCTGGAAGAAGTTGTTTGTGGTATAGTAATATGCGGAAAGGTGAGGATTTGGGGGGGATTAGGGAAGATGTGGATAATACGTGCGGAGAATTTTTAATAAAAAAAAGGGCAAGGCAAAATTAATAGCGGGATTAAAGTCTATTCCAGCTATTTATTTATGACAAAGATTAATACTTTAATCTTTGTGTTTGGATTTTGATTATATGCGGGGTATTTATTAAATACACATAAATTTGTAATTTAGAAAAGTAGGGGGAGTTTCTGGTCGTTGCGTATAATTCACGAGTTAAAATGCTCTTTTATTTTCACTTTGGTGAAGAGGAACTTAAATCATCGAAGCAGCGGTATACTGAAAGTTGTATCCATTTTCCCCCGTTGGCCGACACCTGATCCTCTCGCTAAAACCAGACTTCTGAGTAATAAGAATGCGATTACTCGTTAACTTTTCTACAAAGCGGGCTAAATTTTCACCGACTCATTCTAAGGAAACTCATTAAAATTTCTCGAATGTCCGCGCTTCTTAAAATAAAAACTTTGATAAATATTTCAAGTTAATTTCTTTGGCGTCGGTGCTTTCCTTGCTCTAAATTAAGTTAAGAAACGAAACGATAACAGATGACTCCGTTTTCTTTAAAACAACACTCAGTATCTCATCCCGCCTAATTGCCCGATTCGTTCTCCCAACTTCCATTCCGGTCATAATCTTCATCTCCGATGTTCCGAGCACCTAATTTATAGCAAAGCAAGGGAAATTGAAAGATAATTAAAAGAGATAAAAATGAAATCCCGACTGGAAGATAACAATCATAAGCAGGATAAATTGTAAAATCTCGGCGAAGCAGTTTCCGACTGCTTCAGCCACCTCTTCAGAAAATGAAACGCCATATTTTTATAGCGCACACATAAACTCCGCTATTTTTTCTTTCTACGAGAGTGTTTTTATTTTTAGCCGATCTAATCTCGTTAAGTTTATCTCGGATCGATCCAGACTTTCCTAGTCGTCGAGTGTCTCATCCAGTTTCTTGGATGTTTCTCCCTTATAGCTCGGAACAATGGAAAAATTCAAATTAGGTCGAAGAGAGTGTGATTATTTAGTAATTTCCTGCTTACGCGATGCCGCAGGCGAAAACGGATCCTGCTAATATGGAATCGATTCCAAATAAAGGGCTTTGTTAACCCTTCGCCGTTAATTCGAGCATTTTCTCGCAGCGCCAACAATCAAAAGGTTCGAAACTAGTTCTCGGTTTAGCGTTTTATCGTCGCTCGACTCCCATTCGAGCAGGATATGAAATTTTGACAGTTTATTTTTTTCTGGCCTAGTTCACGGCATCTAATAATATCCGCTTGTTTTGACAAGACCTGTTCCGATTTCGCTTCCAAGTTTTTTCTAACGACAGATGTCGCTTCAGCACGTTACCACGATGCGACCCTAATTGATTTTTAAGATACATTGTTGTACTTACGGCTTCTCCACAATTCAGATCCATTAGGTACACGGCGCATCTCTCACACTTTAATAAATCTTGCGCTTCTCTCATTATTTTCGTCACCAAACATTCCAAGTTGTTTTGTTCCTCGAATATGCTACGTGCCAGGTTTAGTAATATCTGAAAAAATGTAGAAAGGGGGAGTTACAATAACGGAATGAAGTTATTAATCATGCCGAAAGGCAAATTTAAAAAGCCGATGAATATTTCGGTGGTCGGAATTGGCAATTTCGTAGGAGGAAAAGCCAAATTAACGACTTATTCAAATTCTTAATGAAATACAAATGGTTCTGTGCCAACACAATCTTTTCTTTGGCATGAGGGCAACGTGGTCTTTAATGACGGTTAATAAAGCGGCTAAATCGTCTGAAGATGTGTCGACTGAAACCCGACTTCTATTCTAGTCTAAAACTGACGTCAATCCTTTCTGATATTAGGAAATTCTGACACCCGAAAGTAGTCTCACCACGTTATATCATTGTTAAGAATGCTAAATTATCAGATGAGGGTTCAACTGAAACTAACGTTTGCACTCTGTCGGCACGGTGAATACTTTTAGTGGTAAAAGTGTGTTTGTCTGTTGAACTCGGTGTGAACGAGTCTATATTGTCTAGTGTGCGTTCTGTAGAAACTACTTTTGCTTTTAAGAAAATTGTAGAGGCTTGCCAGAGCAGCCACAAACTAAACGAGTTTATTAATCAAGCAATAAAAGAAATTTTAAAGGCAATTCGGTGAGCAGAGAGCTTGCTTTGCATTTTCGACAGATTTTTAGATAAATTAAGCCGTGAGGGTGCTTTGATGTCGGGCGCAAATAAAACTTTCATTAGGGATGAGTGCCGACACACTGAATGGGTGTCGAAACTTTTCCCAAACGAATCTAGATTAAAAGGTGACATTTTCGATAAACCAGCTCTAAATTTAACCCAACTTAAAACTTCCAAAAGTTAAATATAGCAGCCCGATAAATAATAAGAACAAAGAAGACAAAGCAGCCAGCAACTTTTAAGCCGCCACTCCTGACTTTCTTTAGGTCAAGGATTTAAGTGTAATAAAGCAAACACCCAAGATTTTCCATAAAGCGGTATTTGTTCTAGGGAATCGCGTAGGTCTCGGCAGACCCCTGCGGCGGTTGTATCAATCGTATTTGGAGAAATCGTAGGGAACTTTATCGACCGCCTCAATCAAACATGAATGAACTCATCGACTACCACCGTTCATCGGTGAATTTTCTCGTTTTCGTTACCTGGTTTCGCTTGTACTCCAATACCGAGACCTCGAAGAGTTGGGCGTTTTGTATTCCGATCCCGCAGAAAGTCAAGTACCGCCGGAAAACTTCGACGTCGTGGGGGGTGAACTCCTGGGAGTCGTTGGTTTTGTTTATTATTTGAGCTACGCCAATTACTTCGCCGTCGTAGTTACAGATTGGCATGCAAAGGATGGAGTTGGTTTTGTAGCCGGTCTTCAGGTCCACGTCGCTGCTGAAGCGCGGATCCTGAAACAAAATCTACTGTAATGAGGACAATACAATAAACTGGAGCTTTCGCAACTGATTTACTGGAATTCGAGAAATTCTAGCCACAAACTCGAACGACGTCCTCAAAACTTCGAAGAAGTCGAAGTTTTATCAGAAGTTTTAATTTTTATTTCGGACAGAGGATTATTTTTTCATCCCCGAAAACATCAATCAAGGAGACGTTAACTGTGATTGATTAAAATATTCCGGATTTGCTCAATAAAGCGAGAAAACGTATTGATTCACGCATTATCGAGTCCTTACAAGGAATTAGAGGCGGATCTATGGTATAGGAAGAGATTTTGAGGAATGATGACAAATTACTGTATTACTATCTTAAGGGAATCGCAAATATTGACACATTTGTTGAGAAAAATCAGAGCAGAGTGTTTAACGCAGATGCTTGTTGTACCCCCCACTCCTTTGTTTTTCATCTTCAGATTATAAATTACTCGTAATAAGTCTTGATTTTCGTTTTTCTTGTTGACAGCAAGACGCGTCTGCACTTTGTTATATAAAGTTCCAATCTAATTTTTGCGTTGATATTTTTTAAAAGGTAAAGTGACACTATCCACTCACATTCTGCCCACTCTACACGTATAATTCCACAATAAATCGCTCCCACATCTGTTGCTTACATCTAAAAAACCATAAATCAATAAACATTGTCTCCCACCCCCGCCCACCCCATTACTCTCATATTTCCCGCGAGAACACGAAAACAACCCCCAATTTACTAAAACCACTATACGAAAGTCACGCGAATTTTAATTACAGGTGAAGGGTTAAAAAATGACAGCTTGTAGTTAGTCTCAAAGGGGATAATCAAGCTCGTAATGCGTCAGATCACAGGTAAGCGATCTTTTTTACGTCGAATCTATTAAAGCGGAATGACGCCGATATGCATCAAATGGGGTTGTTAAATGTGACGTTTTAACCACCCCCGATTCCCGATCTCCAAAAGAAACGATTAAGTGCCTAATGAAAGGGCAATCGCAGCGACTAATTTTATGTAGACGTTTCCGTGGAGATGTTTGCTAAACAGGAGTGAGGGAAAACACGCGCAAAAAATCTCCAAAGTTATTCACACAAAACTTCCCTCGCGTTTACAGTGTAGTGGTTTTTTAGACATGGATAGTTAACAACATCAAAGGCAGCACTAAATATTAATTAAATAGAAAACAACACTTTTTTGAAATTTTGAGTTTCAGCTAGGATAATTAAAATGCATTTACACAAAAATGTTTCAATAGCGTCGCTGGGGGGTGAAGAAAATTTGGCCCTTAAAGGGCCAAATTTCGTTGAGCATGTAATTAGACATTCGTCAAAGTATCCCTTTTCCTTTAGCTGCCGCCCTGAAAGCAAAAATCCTCGACAGAAACGCACGGGTGCGGAAAAGTGAAACGTCGTAAGGAAGAACGCAAAGTCACAAAAGTGGATTTTTGTACGAGTTGCAGTTTTGTGTGAAAAAGGAATATTTGATTTGAAAATTTAAGGGGCTGAGGGAAATTGGTTTGGTGGCGGCGGAAGGGAAAATGCTCGCATTGCATTTATTTTCTGATAGGGTGTATTCGGGTTTTTTGATTTTCGATATGTTGAGTCTGTGATTGATTTTTGTTTGTTTTTCAGAATCGACTTTAGGTAAATATTTGCGAGGGATTTGTCGAACGCGAATGTGGAATTGTCTCCTATTCTCGTTCTTACATTTTTATGTTAGTTTTGTGCTTACCGGATTCGTGTGTTCGTTGCCTCGAAATCTGCTGTTTGTTCGGTTTTTTCTTCGTGGAAATTAGACGTTACACTGTCATTTCAAATTGTTAAATGCTCCTCGGAGTGCCATTGTGAGACGAAGCTTTTTTAACTTTCCCGATAAAGAAAACGTTAAAATGAGTTATATTGAGATGTTACTTCTCTGTTGTTTGTAAGGCTCGAGAAATAAATTTCTCTGTTAGATTGAAATTTTATTTTAAAGCCTGTATACACAGCTTTACTTTGACTTGGCATCTCTTCTTTATACAAAGTAATTATAAAGATCGTACATCAACTGGGTAGTGGAAAATCTGTCACTGCATTTAATAAGAACTTGCCGTTTCCTTGAGATGGGTAGCGAATTTATATTCGAATCGAATTATCGGTTGCCTATCTATCAAGTGGAATTAGCAAAGCGTAATTAAATAACAAAATAACACTGGATTAAACAAAATAGAAATAATCAACGTAATGGAAAAATATAAATTGAAACGACAACACCAACACCTTCAAAATCCCGAAAAAGCTTGCAGTATTATAAACTCCCCCGTAATCCACCCTCGCAACCTTATCTAATTTGATTTGACCCAAACTCAACTTTACGGCTTTTTCTGGGATAAAAACTTTACCATGATTGAAGTTAATGCAGCTTCAGAAACATTATCTGGGCTACTGCCAAATCGCATCGAGTCTGGATAGTCGATACTTCCGGGCGTCGCAGTGTTAATTTCCCCACACAAATTACCATTTTCCACCGCTAATAAGCGAAAGTGCTTAAAATGGGTTTGTTTGCACATTTCCATGGGCGGATCAAGGCGTGGTGTATTAATTTCTCTCATAAAATATTGGTCGTGTGACAATTCAATTAAACTATTAGGTACTTCCAGTGCAAAAAACACGCGTTTACGTAATACGATATATCACATAGGTACAGGTGTTGAATACTAAATTCTAGACAAACTTTATGTAAAAATTTAGATCCAATTAAAAATGAAATAGTCGTTATCAGTTGGCACCAATTTGTGTCGAAAAAATTCATAGAATGAAAGCTGAATTTGCAAAATCTGGGGGAGCTCCTGGGCGGCCATCCCTCGATCATTTTTTTTTATTTAGCGTCCTACGTTTTTTTATAAAGGTCGCCCTTTCCGCCCTGCTTATTTATTTATCTTCCCCTTTTTCCAGAATCCAGAACTCGCCGTCGAGGTTATAAAAACAAACGTGACAGTTTTGAGAAATTCGTCAATCGATTGTGCAAGTTTTCAGCAGAGACGAGATGGACCGCTGTGGATTTTATATTGTGCAGATAATCGATAAGTCAGGTGGTCTGGGGCAGCTTTGTGCAAACCGGGTGTCAAAATTCGCTAATTTCGCACTTTCGTGGAGGTAAAGTTTCAAAGGGGTTTAATGTCGAAGTTTGGGCAAAGGTGGATTATTAATGACGGCAAAAGGAAAAATGACTCGAGGAAAAGTAAATAAATAAAAATATGCAGCAGCTGGGTTTTGGGAGCGTCTTTAAACTTTAAATAGGTAGGAGATATGAAATGGGGGTCCCCCGACATCTTTCTTTTGTAGGGGATGATGACATATTGTTAGGAGTCTCAATATCGTGGAATATGAATTTCAATATCTTTTTCGGAGGGAAGCGAATAAAGTTGGCGACGAAACCAGCTCGTATTAAGGCTACTTTCTGTACCTCTGGCGATAAGAATTATCATAAGCAAGAGCTTAATGGATTTGCCCTTGTAATTGAAATCTGAATATGCAGAGGAGATTTGCTTAAATAGCACAGTTCGTGTAATTTATTACCGAAAGGTAGTGTCGCCAAAAGAAAAAATATACTAGTCGCACCTTTGCTTGTCAAATTTCGAAAACATATTTATATGTCAAGATATTGGTGCCTTTTTGACTTCGATGTGGCAATATCGCCAAGTCTACGATTAAGTGTAGTGACATTTGCATTAGAAGTTTTCAAAAATTAACCAAATATGGCGCAACACTTGCAGAGCGACTTGGAACTACTGGTTATTACGCACCTAGAGTATTTAATAGAAAGTTGACCTTTCTCGCATTATCCATTGTAATTTATGAGTTCGACATTTTAAAACCAAAATGCCAAAAATCTGTCCCAGAATTGTAACGACGCTTAACCCAATCCGATTAACGTCAAAATGAAGAGTCAGATTGATTTTCGAGCTTTTTAATTATGTGTCAGTCACCGTCGCCGTCCACATTTACCGAAAATCACACCACCAACCCTCGAAAAACGAGTTTAGGGTTTTATAAATAATATATAAGTTCTGTGTGTATCTCGCCGGATCAACCCTAACATCCTTAATAATAAATTTGACAAGAGATAAGGGTAGTAAAATGCGAATTACTTTTTAATGAAAGCGTCCTTTCAAATCTTCTCAAACAGTCCGGAATAAAGGGGATTTACTTTTTAATCCCTAATTTTGAATTATGTTTCGCTTCTAAAATTAGAGATGACTTAAGTTTCGCGTTTAACGTAATTATAATGTTTTTGTGAAGAGTAAACACAAACAAATTTGTGCGATTGTTTCGTAAAATAAACAGGAGTTTATCGGACCGCGAGTGCGTATAAAAACACAAAAGCAGAGGCGTGCGGAGATGATCTTTTCAAATTAAACGGAAAGGGTAAATATTTAATTATTGAAATTGCGAACTGCGACGTACAGAATACATCAATTTAACAACCGGCGCATCGCAATAAAACGCTTCTTCGAACGTGTTGCGTGAAAAATATTATAAACTATATAAGGACTGTAAATTGGGTCAGTGCTTGGACCGAACGTATTTCGCTTTTCTTTATGGGACCCGTTTGCAAGCTAGATTTATTACGGCTTTTGCATCGAATTGTAAACGTTATTTAACATAAATGGGGCTACCGTGACAGCAGAATTAAAAAATTAAAAAATAACGTAACTTTTAAGTAAAATTTACAAGAAGAAAAATTAGGACGGCACTTTTAAAAAATTCAGTCATTGCAAAAAAATTCTCAGCAGAAATTTCCACTGTAGATTTGAGTAGATTCTGACGACTGCTGCAACTATATATAGTTTATTACGGTTTGGTGGTAAACAGCATTTTAATTTATGAATTAAATATATTTTTTAGTAGGTGGGCGATTTTTCAGTGCTTTGTGTGAATGATAAGAAACGGTTAATTCAAGATTTAAGGACCAGTTTACCGTACACAAAGAGCTGAATCCTGCATTGTCCATTACTTTGATTTCGGCTTCCAGGCCGGTTTTAAATGAACGAAATCCTCGAAACATGTTTACTTACCTCTTACTCTTTTGTGGCCTCTTCAAGATTAAAAGGAATCATTTATGACTTACTCTAACTAAATTTGGGTTCTCGGTAGTAACGATTCGTTGACACAGCGCCGGGCCATACCGGTTGGATTTGTTTTAATTTTATGGCAACCGCATAATATGTATACTTTACGGTACTTGGCAAATTATCAAAAGTTTTACATAAATTCTGAAGTCTCAACTCGTTTGTAAATCGTGTAAAACTCGTCGTTTACACGGTTTATAACTTGTTACCTAAATAACTGTTTTCTTTTTGTTAAACATATTTAAAATTCATGTTGTAAGTCAATATTTGACTTTTTAGTAAAACAAAATGTACGTAAGATTATGTAAATGTATTAAAGATTAAAGTTACTTGAAATTATAAAATTGTGTACTAACTAAAAAATTATTAATTTGTGTCACTGCTAAAATTTTCCGCAGTTCTTTTTAACATTACGCAAGCGGAAGTATTCCACTGTTTCAAAATTTTATTAAACACATTCATTGTCTATATTGTTTCATTCTATTAGCACTGTGATGATAAAATAAGTCCCAAACATAATAAAATCTTTCTGTGAAACGATAGTACCCAGAAAAGGCAAAAACAGCAACCGAGACAGAAGGAGTTTTATTTTCCACTAATTACACTCATATGAGCCTATAACGGCGAAATGACGTCATCATTTTTTTTTTTTTTAATAACACCATGTCGCCTTTAATAACTTTAGTAACGGAACTTTTGTTTTTGTCTTTATTTTCTCTCCATATATTATATTATCCTCATTATATTTTATATCTCAGTTTAGCGTGTAAAACTTATTATTAAACTTAAATGAACATAAAATTTGGTGAAAGTCACAAGAAATTAATTTTAATAAAAGCCCCAATTTTCTATAACTGCAACTTTATTTTGTTTATTTGAAAAAGGTCGTGATACCGCTCCTATCCTCTTGCTAATTCATATTCGTATGATTCATGTATCTCTTATATTTTTTATTTATTTTTTTTAACATGAACAATAAAATCGTAACGGTTCGGTGACTGGTCCAAACCATAGAACAAACATTACAATAAAACGGGATTTTTTATTTTTCACCATACATAAATCTCCAAATATTAGTAGGAATAAAAAAAATCTGTAAACGCTGTTGTTTTAGTTTAAAATGGACGGTTTTTGCTTCCTGGACAACACATAAAAAACATCGTAACGCAATCTTGGGGAATATGAAAATGCAGGTTTTCGTTTCCGTATATTTTGATTTGGTGAGGAACTATTATTGGATTAGAAATTACATAACATTAATTAAAATTAATTTATGACCCGAGACAGTTTTTAAATTCGTCTCAAAAAATGTTAAATTAATTTTCATAAGAAAAAAAAAAGAAATTCAGTGGAAACAGATTTGCATTAAAATAAAGAAATTGTCAAATATTTAACCTGCAATTTTTTTATATACAATCGTGGACCGAAAATCTTGGACGTCAATGTCATTTCACTGTCACAAAGTGTGAAAGTCGTATTGTAACCTAATTTTTTAGTTTTGTCATTTTTGACACTGTGGGCATGGTGACACTCAATGTTTTAAATTTCAAACGTCAAAGTGACAATAAAGCGTAGACTACATCAAAATTTTCAAAACTACAGAAGAATGACGTAATAGATTTTCTGGCCCTGACTGTATTTTGGTTCTTTTGAGTACAATGTTACACTAACTATTACTGTGTTGGCATAATTTAATAGAAATTAAGGGGGCCGTTTTAGAAATAATATTATAATAATTGAAAGAGTATTTTTCCATATTTTTAAGACGACGTCATTATTTTTCTGCAGGCATTAAATAAATGCATTTTATGTAAGTATTATTGACTTCCAAATTTTTTTGTAAAAAAGATTTTCGAAAGGACCGTAATATTACCTCTGAGTTTATCAGAATTTTGAACTGAACTTTTTGAGGTACATAAATAAACAAATTTTGGATATTGTTGTCACAGCTTCTTAAATTTTCTGAGTATTGGTCCTTTAATTTCAGAGATTATCAAGATGTAGGCAGAAACTTGCATTTTGGTAGTCTAAGCTGGAACTTCAAAAAAAGCAGGAAGTTAGCATTCTAATAAATTAATTCTACAACAAAATATCCTTAGATATAATGGCTAAACATAAAAATTACAGTTTACCTTGTTCTTAAGGCGACGAGTCTCGAGTTGCCCCTACCACTCCATTTTTTTTTCAAATGGAACTACCTATCGAGTGGTACCTCTTTATAAAAGAAAGGGAAATTTGAAATGACGAAGCATGTATTTATTGAAATTTCATCATGAATTCATAAATAAAAATATTCTAACACACACTTAGTTATTAAAAGCGTATTGCAGTACTTTTTCATAAATTAGTAGATATGGAGTGTATCTTTAAGTTCATAAATAACGAATTGATGAAGAAATTGAAAATTAATTATTAAAATAGTGAACCAAAAAATCTAGTAAGGGAAATTAATAACGAGTGTTAATAAATAAAATATTGTTTTTCAAATACATTTTAAATTGAAAACGAAATAAACAGAAAATGTTTTAAATATTTGAATATGAATATTTCGTTAGCACTACTACATTAATTCATGTTTTATTTCCCGTGGTATATTATGTTTGTAATTTTTTTAATAATTACACCTGTAAACACAATGTAGAAAAATTTGTATGTTTAAATTGTGTTTAGTTTCATGATTGCAACGTGCTACCTCTTTGCTGTCCCAGAAGAAGTCTCGCCGCTTTGAGCTAAAAACAACAGCGTTTACAGAATTTTAAATGTCAATTCATTCTCTACATACGCCACCTATACAATAAATAGCAGTAAGGGTTTCTTTTAAACAACCTGAATTGTACAGGAACGACTTATTTGAATTTTTATTATTATCTTTTTTTTTTGGAAAATTATCGAAACTTACGTTATAGGCATCCGCGATGTTGATGAGAATCTTATTCTGCGCCACCGTGCCAGCGATGCCGATCCCGAACGGGATGCGGATGTCCTCCGACCTGGCCAGCTTGACCGCCTCCTCCAGCGAGGTGTCATGCCGCACGTCGAACAGCTTGGCCACCAGGAACTTGTCCTCGCCCGTTGCCCTCGTCAAGAACAGCGAGCCGCGGTCGGCTCGCGTCAGCAGGCTCACGTTCCGCAGGATCTTGTGGCACAGCACGTCGATGTCCAGCTCGTTGGCGACGTCCCGGATCAGCTCCATGAACAGCTCGGACTCCTCGACGGCGTCGTCGGCGGCGCGCGGGTGGCCCAGCAGCCAGCGCTGGAAGAGGTCGTCGGTGGCGGCGACGGCGTCCTGCACGCGCCCCCGCAACCCGGAGGACGCGTGCCGCCGCAGCCACTGCTCCACCAGCGTGGCGTTGGCCTCGAGCCATTGCCCCGCCGACTGCAGCTCCTCATCGGCGGCGGGTGGCGGCGTCATCGTCCCGCATGCCCTACGAGGCGCGGAGGCACCGCGACGACGGCGTCCAGGTGGACTGCAAACGCGACTGCTTCATGCCGACTGGCGGACGGCACATGCCGGCCCGGACGCGGATGCGTGCAGGTATTGATCGGAGGTGCGCGGAGGATGGAGAGGACGGAGCGGTTGCCGAAATTTGCTCGTGGGGGAGACGCGAAAAGGGGGGTAGTTTATGACGATTGGAACAAAGTTGCCTTTTGGGGAGCTTTTACGATTAACAATACACTGACTGTAAATACTACGAAGAAGAAGGGGTAATGCAATTTTTGATTTTTTGCGTTGTCGATACGAGAGAGAAAAAAAGTTGCGCGGATGTGCGGACAGGAAGAGATAAATCGCAAAAAAATTAACAGCCGTGGAATTTCGCAACTCGTGTAACACGATAATGCAGGTTTCTCGTTTCACTGTAAACGTGCACCCTGCGTACTAATTTACCTGTGAGTGAAGGGTTGTCTTAAACATAATAAGTTTGGATGAAAGAGTACAGAAATAGGTAGATTTTTCACAACATTTATCTATTCATTATAAAATTATACAAAATAAGATATTTACACGAAATCAATCATTATCGTCTTCGCAAGGATATAAAGTTCAATTAATCAATCATCACTCATCAGTTAACCATAAATATTAATAAACCAAACAGAAATATTCATACATTTACATGGCCACATTTTTGTCAAAAATGTGCTAATTTGAATGTTTCCATATCATGATTCTAGTCGGCAATGTGACATGCCAAAAAAACTGGTTGTAATAGAATCACCATGTCCAAATTAATGAAGTCCTATTCTTTTCTTATTAAAGAAAATTATCTTAATTTTTCCATTATAATAGCGAATGTTACCTACTAAACTTTGTATGAATAGTCCCCTCGGTAATCAGCTAGGCTAAATATTTCACGATAACGCGTAAACAAATTCTTTCAAATGAAAACTTGAAAATTTACTTTTTGTATACTTGATTTGATTAGAGCCTTAACCATTACAATAACAGAAATAACACTTCCTCAAATTTATTCTTTGGAGATGCAAATGAGGCGCCGTCTTGTATCCAAACGTTTTTTGATGCTGCATATCATATGATCATTCTTTCACCTTCTGAAAGAGAGGTATCAATATTGCACGAGTTTAGAGTCTTCAGTCCGGCTTTTATCGTCGTATCATGCTTGTAAATAATTATTATGTTTCTATTTTCATACTTTTTTAGCTCAAAATCCAATCTCTTTCGGAAATATTTGCAACGTTATCTTCCAGCAAACAAAGAAGCCTTGACGATTTTATTGTAAGTAATATCTAATATAGGAATATTTTTTTAATTAAAACACCGATCGATAATTACTCTTATTTATTGTGAGGCTATTACGATTTTCGTCATAAAATGGTGACGTAATAAGGTTTCCAGGTTTCCGGAATTTATACCTTCTGATACAGCACAAATGCCAGTGAATAGGAAGTTTTTAAGTGATGTTCAGTTTTGGAATATGAAGATTTTTTTTCCCTAGCGTAAACAAAAGTAGGTCTTCTGTTTCCGTCTGTTGGCGATTCGGTTAGATAGATAATCTCCGAAATTATTAGACTGATTGTTGTAAAACTTGATAATTATTCGTATAGATGCAAACAAAAATTTGTCTAACCATCCTCACCAACAGCGATGATGTCATCAAAATTTGACATTTAAATTTTACTTCTTTCTATGGTTCTAATTTATTACTGAACCTCAGTTTTTACACTTTGGGATACTACAGTTTTTGGAAAAAATCGAAATTATGCAAAGAATTTTATTGTTTAAATTTAAAGCTACACAATCGGTTACTATGAAATTATACACACATTTACAGTTACCACGAAGATGGTAAATCAGTCATTAAAATTCATCTATTCATCCCGTTCAAAAACTTGATGACGTCAACTGCATTATTTTTAGTTTAATTACACGTATAAGTATATGATTTTTTTAATTTTATTGATTTAATTTTTCTGAAATTTTGGCTACACAGTACTCTTATTTATGTGGTAGCGGGGGCAGAGATACGACCCTTGCTGAACCTTGATTCTCTCCCACTTCCTACAACCGCGAGAAATCAGGTCTCAATACAAAATCCCACCAACACCTAAATGTCATTTCCTATATTCCTCCCCCCAACTTCCACTGACGTTTTGGTCACAAACAAGGGGTAATAAGAATCGAAAAACTAAAAAATCGGAAAAAAATTGAAAAACCAGAAATTACAAAATCGAAATAGTAGAAAATCGAAAAATTGCATATCATACAACTGAAGAAATGAAAATTTGAAACATTGAAAAACTAAAAATCGAGGAACTTACAAATCGAAAAAATTAATCAATCGAAAAACTGGAAAAAACGAATGGAATCGAAAATTTGGAAAACTCAAAGACTGTAACATCGAAAAATTGAAAAATTGAAAATTGAAAACTCGTAAAATTGCAAATCGAAAAATTGCAAAATCTAAAAATTGCAACATCCAAAAGTTAGATGCATAATCTAAAAACTGAAAAATTTTAAAATGAAACTGGAAGAGTTGCACGTCGTAAAATCAAAGAAACAAAAAAAATTAAATATTGAAAAAAAGCAAATCGCGAAATTGAAGAAACGAAAATTTTAAAAAATTGAAACCAAAAAACAACAAATTATAAAATCGGAACATTGAAAAATTGAAGACACGAAAAAATGAAAAAATTAAAATTGAAAAAACAAAAAAATATAAAATCGAAACACTGAAATATCGAATAATTGAAAAAATAAAGCAAACAAAAAACGAAAAATTGTAAAATTTAAAATTGAAAAATTGAAAAACTGAAAAATTTTAACTTGAAAACTCGAAAAATTGCAAATCGAAAAACTGAAGAAACAAAAAAAATGGGCACTAGTTTTTTACTTTTTAGATGTTATCAGAAAACAAAAAGCACAACACAAAAGGAAGTTCTCTCAAAATAACCTTCGACTATTTTTTTTTAAATATGTTAACTTTCTGAGGAGCAATTATACACATTTACAGTTAAGTGGTTTCTACAGTTAACTTAAATTAGACAAAGAAGTGAACACTTGAAACACGTTTAAACTTTGTCGAAATTGTGTGTGTAGTAACATATTATAAAAAAACTGAAATTGCATAACAACTACACAGAAATTTTAAATTTCATTTTGGGATAAAACGAGTAAAAATACAAAAAATTTATATCTAAAAATGAACATTACTAAAAGTACTGAGCATTCTGATTTTTATGTGTTAATTTTTATTTCCAGTTTCGCAATCTGTTCATCATAATTCACACATATACCCAAGATAAAAGATTTAAACAAAACAAAGCAAAAGCGGAGACATTAAACATTCAAGTGTAGAAATAAAAAAAAGCAGATGCAAAAAATAAACACGTGGATTTCACCGAAAATTAGAACGCAAAAATTGTGGTATTAATCGCGTTTAAAATTCCTCCGACCATGAACCCCCGTACGTTACCTCTATCTTTTACGACCGCTAATTAGTATTCTAAAAGCGCTTACATTTACACCGCACTACGCCGACATTTTACGTTGAAGCGCCTTAATCGGTTCAATTTATGTTTATTGATACGGAAATACGTACAAGCTGACAGATTACGTAAACAACAAACAGATCTGTCGTCGCCCAACATTTCCAGATTGTAAAAAATGTGTATTTTGGCAAGGTATGCGTTCGAGGAAAATCCCGGCGTCGGAAGCAGGTGACTCAGTACTGAATGCTCGTTGCAGTTCTGTATCGAATGCAAATGGTTTTGCAAGTAAATGAGACGTAAAACCATGTTGGGTTTATTGCAGTGGTGCGACTGCCATATTGGCTCCAAATATGTTGGCTAATTATAATGGACCCACCTTTATGTCCAGAATGGGATTGGCGGTAATAAAATACGGACAATTATGTGTGCTGTGGTGCTATTGGACCATCGTTGCATAATTTCGATGGTAATGGCAGGATGTACTTCGAACGATTTGTACTGGGGAATTTTAAGACGATAAATTACAGTTTTTGTAAAGTTAAGACATCAAGTTGAGACAAATCGCTGTGCAGTGACTAAGCAATTGCTACTTATACAGCCGATTGGGTTAATCTCTGCCGAGTGATGTTACATTGACACGTCGCTCTTAGTTCGTCAACAACGTGATAATAATACGTTAGATAAAGTCCGATGACGGTTCTAGAGGGTCGGATTAGCGCCCCAGATTTGATTCACTATATTATGTCGATCGTTTTCTACATTTGCTCAACACACATAGATAAAAGTAAGATTACAGTCAACATCAACAAACCAATAGCACCCGACTCCTCCAGGATTGCCAAAACGTTAATCCAATTTGCATGTTTAAACAAAACTGAAAGTATCACGAAAACGAAGCCGCAGGATATCATCTGGCCGAGCCTAAATTCTCCCTTGGAAATAAACACAAAGATAATTATCCAAAACACCCCCAAAATATATCACATACGCGCTTTTAGTGAATTTACTTTCATTAAAAAAAGCAATTTCAACCACCTTTTTGTTATGTGTACCCTCATTTCCATAACGAAATTTCAGCTACCCTCGTCCCTGTTAACACAATTACATTTTTTGCTGTTATAAACGCGAATAATCAATGTGGAAATGGCTTTTGCTCCTGTATGGGCATTGCGAGAAAATTTCACCTTCGAATTTATCACAGTGAAGGTTAAAGTTACGCACACCGGAGAAGATTTAGTGGGACAATAAAGTGGGACCCGGGTGAAAAATGATCATGGGAAACTCGAAATAGGAAAACTAAATAAACACGGAGTGTGGCACTTGAGAAGTTTATTCTGCGAAAGTGCGCTTTTTAAAGCGATAAATTAAAAATCGAGCCGAACTTTAATCAAAAGGGGTGACATCCATGGCTAAGGGATCATGTATTGGTGGGGGACAAATTGGTTAAATATCATTAATGAAGCAGTATTATAGTGTGTAATCTGTATTATGTTGTATCATTAAATTATTAAAAGCAAACAGTCAAGCTGGATTTAAATTTCATCATTAATAATTCCAATTAGTTGCTATACAAAATTAAAAACACCCGTCAAACCAATTTTAAAACAATATTATGACGTATTTTCTCATACTTTGCCGATTTTCCTGTCATTTTTCTTGAAGGGAATCTGATTCAAAGAAACAATGTTGTTGTGACAGGGCGCTGAAAACAATAGAGTCGAGAAGGTTTTTTTTGGTGGTTGACTCGAGAAGCGGAAACATTTCAGACAAGAGCAATGTTTTAAATAGAGTTTGAAACCAAACACAACCCAGTAATACTCGAATTAATCTGCTGATATTTATTGAATTCAAATATATTTATTCAATACATCTTGAAACTGAAGTAAACAATACAATCAAAAATAATACATTGGTTAACAAATATAACGCAGACGGACAATATTTAAACACAGATTATCCAAACACTTTAAAAGTTAGTACTGATAATATGTCCATTCGAAGAATCAAGTTTCTTCCAGTTTTTAATTTTTTCGACGCATTCAGGGTTAAGAGGGTTAAATTTGAGATCAGTAGAAACCGCCTTAAACACCTGATTAAAGTCACCTTCAGGACACCCAATCCTGTTGGAAGACAAATCCAACAAATCTATATTTTCAACATCCGCCAAAAAGCTTGCATCCCACTTATCAATATTGTTGATACTTAACCTCAAAGAACCTATTTTTCTCAACCCCTTGAAACCCACAGGCGAAACTCTTTTAATACTATTCTCATCTAAATCAATAACTTCCAAATTTTCGTTGTAAATGTTACTGAAGGCCTCATCTGGAACTTCTTCGATATCGTTACGAACCAAATGTACTCGACGCAGATTGTTAGTACCACGGAACCATCTCCTATCAATTTTCGTAATTTTGTTAATACCCAAACTGATATTTTTCAACTGCACCATATCGTCAAAGGCAGCCGAATCAATCATCATTATCTGGTTACCCGACAAATCCACTTCTTGTAGACTACGATGTTTGTTGAAAATACCATCCGGAATACCAGTAAGCTTGTTGTAGGCGAAGAACACCCTCACCAGATTCGCCCCTACAAACTCCGGCGCAATCTCAGTAAGCGCATTCGCAGACACGTCCAACACCCTGAGATTCGTCATTTTCTTGAAAACATTTTTGGGAAGAGTTTTCAGCGCGTTGGATGCCAAACTTAACTCCTCGATGTGCTGGTTGTCCAAAGCACCCTCTTCCAACGTTTCGAGCTGGTGGTTGAACGTGATCCTCAGGGTTTTCAGTTTCAGGTCGCCGAAAGTATTTCTTTTGAGGGTGGTGAAGTTGCTGTAAGAAATGTCGAACCTTTGGACTCCATCGAAGTTGCGGAATGCTCCTGGACGGATTTCTTCGATTTGGTTTTTCCAAAGGGAGAGATATTTTACGGTAGTGATGTCGGTGATCGAGTTTTCGTAGAGGACGGGGATTCTTCCGGTGATTGCAAGAAAGTCGAGGGGGCGATTGGGTAGGTACGGTTTGATAGTGGTGTCTTCGGTGATTGTGGCCACGGTTTGGTTTATTCCGGTTTGTAGTTTTACATTTTTGAACGAGACGTCGCGACACTGGCTCCCGATTATTAAAAGGGAAAGTATACAAAGAAATCTAAGCGGAGGCATCTTGAGGAGGGCAAGGTTTGAACAAGAGTGGAGTGGTTAGGATTTAGTGACTTTAAATAGCGGCTCTAATCGTCTGGTAATGTGTTTCTGAGTACATAATGATAATGACTTGTTGGATTTGTATTTAAAATACGTCTTTGCATAAGCTGATGTTCGTGTTTTCGTAGAAGTTAATATTTTTGTAATGAGAATAATTCTCTACGATTATTCGAAGAGTAAAATAAAAAAATATTTTAGTTTTATTTAATGGTGTTATGAACATGGAACACGACAGAAAATGTGGGTTAAAAATCTGTGATCATTTTGCTATATTTCTCCAAACAGCTAAGCCTTTTAAATAAATAATGCAGAAAAATGTGCACATATTTTCAAAAAATTTTTCAAAAAACTTTTAAACACGGACTGTATTTAAATTCAAGAAATTTCCCACTAATAGAGAATTTTTCATTTTTAATGTACCTCTCCAAAGGAGAACATTTTAAAATGTCAATTTTCAGATCTGTAGAGTTTTCTTTATACTTTTGACCAACTCTTGGTTGACCATAATTCGAAAAAAACCTGGGGTCCAAGGCAAGAAGCTGTGTTTATGGAATAAAAACACAAATTACACCGACTCGAGCTGACCTGATATGACTTGACGTAATATGACCTGACATGATATGACCTGACGTGACTTGACCTAACCTGACATGACCTGACCAGACTCCACCAAACCCAACTTCATCTTACCTGACTTGGCCTGACCTGGCTTCTACTGACCTAATCATACTGTCAAACGTGCAATATTGAAAATTCTTGGAGTCAAGACACAAATTAAGTTGACCTGATCCGCTTTGACTTAACCCGACTTGACCTGACCTGACCTGACCTAACCACACCTGTACTGATTTGACCACAGCCATCAAACGTAACAATGTTGAAAATTCTTGGAATCAAACCACAAATTACATCAAAAACTTTATTTCACCTAAAACACATCTACCCATTTCCTAAAATAAATACAATGGCAGTGTTTCCACAACAATATCACCTATATGCAAACTACCACCCCTCCTCCATCCCCCACCCCTCACGGCCGCTGTATCGTGCAATTCGTGACCGTCCCGAAAGTTTCCGAGTAATAAAACTGACAAACGGCCGCATTATTCTCAAATGTCATCTCCGGCACCTTAAACTCCGGATTGATGGCAACTTTGAGCGTGTAAATCCCCGGCTCAATGTCAGATATGTCAACCCACTGACAGTCCACCGTGTACTTGTAGATGTCGCTGCAATTAACCGAGATCCCCTGGTCCCCGTAGTTGGCGCAGGCAAAACGCGGCTCCACCCCCGGAAGGCACTGGTTGTCCTCAAGACAGAAAGAAGCCTTGTGCCCCTCGGCCACCCTGCGGCCCTTCGAGTCGTAAACGTCGAAGGTCGCGAACACCTCCATGCTGTGGTAGTGCCTGTAAAGTATCAAATTTTACGAGCTGTCATGCGAGAATGTTGTTATGGCCGGAATAATGGCCATCATAAATGGATATTGTTATTTGTGCTCCGAATTAATGTTTATTCGGTTTGACGTCAGCGGTTCCGAAAAACTACTTTCCCGGTAATTAGCAGAGGCCGGAAATCGCCGAGGAAAATGAGACGGTTAAAGTGGAATTCGTGTGCGTTGCAGTTTTCACTTTCGGCTTTTGACGAAATGAGGTTTGTTTTGGGTCGGGGAACAACTGCTTCTGTATTAAGACTGGAAGTGGGTTTCCGGTTTTCTGTCTAATTTGTAAAGTTAGTTCCAGTGCTACTCGTAATTTAGACTTGCAAATGTTAATAAAGATATAAAATTATTTTTAAAATACACAATAGCCGAGTAATATACTGACTACTGCTTACGTCGAACCTCAGCAACTTTATGTTTGATGGTTGACGCCATTATCCACTCTCAACGATACATTAGTTCGAAACCAACAAATGTAGCTAATGACTACAAAAAGATGCTCTTTTCAGAATAATTTAAAATTGGAAACCAAACTCAAATGGAGGAGAATTCGGTTCGTGAATAAACTATTGAATGTTCGTGCGTGGAAGTTTGGAACAATTAAGTTCCGACGCAGAGATCAATATGTTTATCATAATATCTAATTGTGACTCCACCTCGGGAGTTTGAAACTAGTGTAATAAAATAGGGAGGGTTGGTTGGGTTAGTTATTGTTGGAGTTTGGAAAATACGGTCTAAATTTCGAGAATTTAGATCTTGATGCAATTTGGGAAATGGGGGAAGTTTGGGGTTGGTTAAGGTGCCACCTGTTAAAAGGGGTGGATTGAAGGGCGAGCAAAGTTGGAGTCATTATATGGGAGATTGCGCCTACGAATAGAACAAACATTAATCGAGGAGATAAATTTTGCTAGAGAGGGAGGACTGAAATGGGTTGCGCTACGTTGATTCTTCGATCTCAGGGCACTATTTGTCAAAGAGAGTGAGCTATTCTTTCCAATATTTCAACTTTGAAAAATGCTTGAGGGGTTTTCGACCTCAAAAATCTGCTTTCACTAAATTCAAAGAAGTCCAAAACTGCACCGTACGTTCAATCGATAGATTTATAAAAGTTGATATATCTATCCTTGTCTAGTTGTTATTATTATTCAAACTTGCATCGCATCATATTGCAACACTGCTCCAAAGAACTAATTAGATTGTGAATGATCAGATCAAAGGTAATGGCATTTTATAAATAGAGCACATACGCGTGAAAGTTATTTATGGTTTTTAATTTTAGAACATTCAAATGGCCATGTGAACCGTTGCTAATAGCAGAAATTGAATTACAGTTAAAACATCCAAAACTTCCTGTATTTTTGTTTTTAGAATCATAATTCGCCAGGTGGCGTTTTTTAAAATTCGTCCCTACAATATCTTTCACACTTTCGAGCCCCACAAAGCAAAACCCGCGCAAAATATCCCGAAATCCCGCTGACGCCGCAACCCCTTTAATCCCTCATGCATACATATGAACTCACATATGACACATGTGCCATTCCCATAGATGTTTAGGTATAGCGGGCCGGAAGTCCGCCGTTCCGGCATTGAAAATCCTCGCCGTAAATCTCAAAAGTCGCCTGGTTTCCAAATGCCACGAAGTCGATTCCTTTTGAATCTCGTAAGCTTGCGAGGCCAAACAGTTCTCCTCCATGGCGCACTGCAGGAAGAAGAGTTGGCGGTCCTCGAGGTGGGCGGTGCGTTGCAGGTCCACGTGGTCGATCACCAGGTCGGACATGGCGTTCACGCAGCTAACAGCCGCCACGTCTTTGATTGAGGAACAGGAGCCGGTGGCGGCGGCGTCGTGGAGGCAGAGGGCGAGGGAGGGCTCGTTGCCGCGGCATTTTATGCCCGAGAGGCTGGCGGCGGTGAGGTTGCCGCCGAAGAAGTCGGTCTGAGGCGCGTCGCTGGCGTAACCTGAGGAAGTACTCAGAGTTTTTCATTTAAATGTTAGGCAAGAAATTAACTGATTATTTTTAATAAACTATGTATGTATTAGTAGTTTGTCATAAATTTTTCATGATTTTATTCAAAAAAAGATTCTTGGATTCCGACCATTTTTCCAGCAATCTGCCAATTTTTAGGATTTTCAAAAAAATTTAATTTGAAACCGAATAAAGACATATATAGATACATCTTTCTAGAATCTTGTTCCAGGATCATAAACGCGTTATATTTTTCGAATAAGCAGTCAATTCGATCTCGATTGATCCCAGATTTTTTTTGTGGATTTTTAGACAACATTTTTAAAGCTCAGTTTTTCAGTATTATTTTCGATCACATTCGAAAATTACCTAAAGGAATTTTTTTAGTAGATTTCGACCTCAAGAAGTTATTTCGATCTCATTTCATCTAAAACTCCTCCCATTTTCTCAGAATCGTCCAAGAAAATATGTTAGTTTTAGGATTTTCAAAAAAAAAATTGAATTTCACACCGGTTAATTCTAAAATCTTGCTCCAAGATCATAAATACACCATATTTTCGAAAAAGCTCGTCTAAATTTCAACATTTTTTGTGGGTTTTTACATAACTTTTTCAAAAATCTGTTTTTTATTACTCCCTCCTTTTAAGAATTTCGACCTTTTTTTGTCCAATTTTGAAAATTACCCAAGAATATTTTTTGGTAGGTTTCGACCTATAGAAATTATTTTCCGCCTTATTTCGTCGAAAACTCTTAAACTCTTACCATTTTCCTAGAATCTCCCAATAAAATTTGACAAATTTTAGGATTAACAAAAAAATAATTTCAAACATTTTTTGAATCACCACGTCGCGATTTATATCTGTGAATTTTTTATGAATTTTTAGACAACTTCTTCAAAAGCTCAACTTTTCAATATAAAATTTTGAGTTTATTCCCAGCACCTTCAAAAATTATCCAAAGATATTCTTTTGTTAATTTTGTTAGGATATTTTAAAATTTTGATTTTAAGACCATTTACCGTATCAACTTGGGATTCTTTTCTCTAAGAGATCTATGATTCCTAGGGAAGCACGATTTTTTTCATAATTTTTGGCTACCGAGTTTTTCCGTAATCGTGCTAAATATTTCCTTAAAAAAATCAATGATTACTCCGGGATTTTCGATCTTCACTTACAGTCTTGATCCGGGACCATCAACATGCCATATTTTTCGATCAGAAGAATAGATTTTTAGACAACTTTTTCAATCCATCTGTTTTTGAATATTTTTTAAAAATTCCACCATTTTTCGACTACTTTCGAAAATGATTTATTATTGCATTTTTGGTAGATTTCGACTTCAGAAAATAATTTTTTGCCTTATTTCGTCAAAAACTCCTACCATTTTCTTAGAATGTTCCAATGAAATCTGGCAATTTTTAGGATTCTAAAAAAAATGAATTGCAGATCTGCTATTTCTAAAAACTTTTTCTATTGCCAAAAATACGTCGAGAGTTATATCTGTGAATTTTTTGTGGATTTTTGGAAAACTTTTTCAAAAGTTCATACATATTTTCAACACTTCGTAAAGGGATTCTTTTATTGATTTTGAGATTTTAAGGCTAATTTCGGCTTCAATTCTTCAAAAATTCATAGCTTTTTTCCAAAATCGTCAAAATTAGAAGGGAATTTTCAGGATATTTCAAAATTTTGATTTTGAAGCCTATCATATTGTTCGACTTGGAATTATTTTCCCTGATAGATCTGTGTTTCCTCTAAAAACTCGATTAATTTCACAATTTTTGGGACCCGAGTTTTTCCAGAATCATGCTAAATAAACCTTTAAAAAAATTCATGAATACTCCAGGATTTTTGACCTTTATCTGGAATCTTAATCCGGGATCATCAACACGAAACAGCACGTCAAGATCTATATTGCAAAAAAAATTATGAGCACATTCGACATTTTCTAGAAAATTTCAACTTCTAGAAATTATTTTCAGACTTATTTCGTCCAAAACTCCTACCATTTTCGTAGAATGACCTAATGAAATATGGCAATTTTTAGGAAAAAAAATTGAATTTCAAACCGAATATTTCTAAAAATTTGCCCCGATACCAAAATCACGGTATATTTTTTGAGTCACCACGTCGAAAGATATATCTGTGAATTGTATCTGGATTTTTAGACAAGTTCTTCAAAAGCTCAAATTTTCAATATTTCCCCTTTAGAAAATTTTGAGTTTATTCCGAGCCCCTCCAAAAATTACCTAAAGAGATTTTTCTGTCAATTTCGACATCTTGAGCTGATTTTCGACTTCATTTCTTTGTAAATGTTTAGGCGACTTCGCCAAAAGCTCAATTTTTCAATACCCCCTCCTAGGAATTTTTTTTTTCTTTTCCTGAACAAAATATTGAAAGGAATTTCATTGAAAGAACATAGTAACAAAGCATGAGTTACAGAACTTTTGATCATGAAAAGTAAAACGAGAAATAAATTTAGTATGTGAGCTTTTTCCTCATTTTAATACTAAATGGTGGATGCGCCGGGCTTAAAAATGGCGAAAATTTATAAATTGCACAAAACGGGAGCGCTATATTTAAGACCGTCAAAATGACCCACCATTTTGTGATACACAAACTTCGGTAAAACTTTTTAAAATCATATTTCGATATGCATTTTTATGGACCGCTACCCTTATAAAATTTAACTTTAAAAAGTACTGTTGTCATACTTTAACAAAAAACTCTGGTAAAGAAATCCTTACCTTACAAATATCAATAAGTTAAAATGATAAAATCTTAATGAAAAGTAATATGACTTTTTTTAATACAAATAATATTTACAAACCACTTAATACTTATACATTAGTTTTAATTAAGAGTAATAATGATTCCACATATGTAGTGCCATCTGTCTCAGAGGGAAGAACTACAACAACGAAACGTCAGGCCTAAATGAACTTTGTGTAAATAAAAATGGCTGTAAGTGGAGTTATTATTCACTATAAAAATATACTTGGGTAGACCTTAAAATGGCGGATGCGCCGGTCTATTCTAGAAAAAATAAAAATGAGCAAGATAAACAGTGATTTTAAGCAAAGTGTATGTGCCTTCGTTTGTTTAACTGTAAAAGAAAACAGAAATATATTCAGACAAAAGGAAACTGTTTTCTTTCCCTTGTTACCCCCTTATCTTGAGTGTTATCTTGATCTTAATATTTGAATCAGTACGATTTCTGTTTTTCGTCATTAATTGCATAGCTTGAATATTACCTAAACAACTGGATTTAAAATAAATGCTGAAGGCGTATGAGAAATCTAAAAGACGTTGTCAAAAAGTCTGTTTATGAAACTAGAAGTTTCGTTTCTCTATCACCGATCATTTGCTATCAGAGATCCAGCACATTTCCTTCCACGATTTTCGGTCGTGACTCGTCGATCGCTTCCGCAACTCCTCTTTTTGCCTTTTCACCTCTATCACACTTATGCAACCAAAAATACACGCCTCGAGCAAACGACCCGCCACATGCACCATAACCCGGAAAATCGATGAAGACCCCCATCGACACCGACTTCCATTACCGATAAGAACAAATTACGACGCCGAATCTCACCTAACGACAGTTGCTTGCAGACGACGATAGCTTCAAGCAGAGACCATCCGTCGCCGCAAATGGCTTCCCATTCGCCATTTTCATTTTTTGCCTCGACCCTTCCTTCGCTCGCTATTCGACCTCCTTTTAATCGGATCTTGAGACGTTCTGGCAGTCGCACCCTAAAAACGTTAATATCTCCATCAAAATTTAATTAAAGCAACTGTTAAGAGCTTGTACTTATTAAATTTATCGCTGCAAGAAAGTGATAACGGGGAATCCCTCAACGCGGCTCGGATTTAATCAAATTTAAGATAGGACAAGACGCAAAGGAAGAGGACGAACGACACTTTTAGTAGTAATTAAATAAACCGTAAATGTCCTACTATACCATAAAGCGTTTAGACCGTAATCTTTTTTTTTACACGCGCAACTATGTCCGGAAACTTTTGTAACTTTCGCTAGCTAATTTTAAGTTTGCTAGCGGTACTTACAAATTTTTCTTTTTCGTCTCCACTACTACTTCTTTCACCTCTTTCTCGACGTATTCTTCGCATATTACTCCCGCCGCCTCCGTTGAGGTGCAATCGTGGCGCCCCCAGCCGTCGAACCGGCAATTGATGATCTCGTCTTCGTCGCCGCTGCAGAACACGTTGTCCATCCAGTATTTTCCTGTTGGTGTGAGTGATATGATTTTGATGGGTGATTTATGGTTTATGGATTATTACGTTTCGCCGGGCCGAAATGGGAGTTGGCGGTGGGTCTTCCGGTTCCCGCTGGATAACCCAATTGTCTGCAGATAACATCCGCTTCTGCTATGTCCCATTCGTCATCGCAGATGGCGCCCCACTGGCCCTCATGCAAAATTTCGACATTACCTGAAACATGTGCAGTGGAGGTTGTAAATCAAATAGTATTCAGGGTTTATTAGTTTTGTGATTTATTTAGGGGCTGAAAATCGAAATAATATAGGGTTTTTAAGAATCTGAAACAAAGGGTGGTATGAATAAAACTGTGTAGATGCTCATACTCGAAGTACGAAGTATCTACTCGAGTATCAGCTCAAAATGTTTCTACTTTTTCTAGATTATGCGAATATTTGGTACTAAGTACATAGAATAGATGCTCAAGTATATAGGAGTAGATACTCGCTAATACTGAAGTATGTACTTCGTACTTCGAGCCTGAGCATCTACTCAGTTTTATTCATACCACCCAAAGACGTGATAGAAAGAGCGAAAAAATGTACATTAAAAGAATAAACGGTCGCAAAAGGACATGAGCTCAGACAAGATAATTCTTGATATCAAGAAAAAGAAGGAAATAAAATAAAGAATTACTAAATTGTAACGTGTCAGGAGTTTCGGAAATTTCTAGAGAAGAGTTAAAATTTATTTACAAAATGACTAAAACAATGGATCGAATTTCCACCCTGAAGATTAACTGGTAGGTCTAGAAAGCACCAGTGGAAATTTTCAAAATTTCGGTAATTTTAAACTATTTCGATTCAATGCAATCTGTTTCATCCTCCTGAAAATTGATTTTCTTACTATTTCCAACCTCCATAATAAGAATTCGAGCCAAAAAAACTTCTCCGCAGGCTCCTGATTTTTTTTTTTAATTTTTGAGTGATCGACTCTTTCCAAAAATGGCAGCGTTCGATGTATTCGTTTGTGGAGACTCAACGAATCGAGTCTGAGGATTAACTGTTAGGACCAGAAATCTCTAAGGACTTGAATAGTATAAACCACAATGCGGATTCTGAAACCTTTTTGATTTTATGTCCCACTAATTAAATGAAAATGGAAATTTTCAGAATTTTGGTAACGTCAAACTATATTTCGCTTTAATGGGACCTATTTCATCTTCCTGAAATTTGACTTTTATACTAATTCCAACTTCCACAATTAGGATTCGGACTGAAAAAAGTCTCCGCAGGCTGCTGAATTTTTTCTTAATTTTTGAGTGATCGACTCTTTCGAAAACTAACACTGTCGGATACTTTTGTCGGACTAAAAATCTACAAAGAATCAAGTGGTATAAACCGAAAGACGGATTTTGAAACCTTTTTGATTTCATGCCCCGTTAATTGAGTGGAAATTTTCACGATTTTGATAATGTCAAACTATATTTCTCTTTAATGGGATCTATTTCATCTTCCTGAAATTTGATTTTTTTTACTAATTCCATATTCCATAATAAGGATCCGGCCTCAAAAAATTCTCCGCAGGCTCCTGAATTTTTCTTCTCTCGATATTCAACAAATCGAGTACCCGGGCTGAAGATTAACTAATAGGGCTAGAAATGTCCAAGGAATCGAGTGGTATACCCCGAAAGGCGGATTCTAAAACCCTTTCGGCTTTATGTCCCGTTAATTCAATAGAAATGAAAATTTTCAGAATTTTTCTAATGTGAAACTGTATTTTGCTTTAATGGGATCTATTTCATCTTTCTAAAATTTTACTTTTCTACTAATTCCAACCTCCATTACAAAGATTCGGACTTAAAAACGACTACGGAGATTCGTGATTTTTTTTTTATACCATCCAATATATCCTTCTGTCGATACTAAACGGATCGAATATCCGGCCTGAAAATTAACTGATATGACTATAAATCTCCAAGGAATCGAATGGTATATAAACTGAAAGGCGCATTCTAAAACCTTTTTGGTTTTGTGTTCTGTTATTAAATAGAAATTGAAATTTTCAGGATTTTAGTAATGTCAAAGTATTTCCCTTTAATGAGATTTTTTCATCTCTTTGAAAACTGGGTTCTTTACTGATTCTAACCACCATGATAAGGATCCGGCATCAAAAATAGATCGACTGCAAGTTGTTTTCTGCTTATTTTTTTGGTTTTACTCGATAACCTATAAAACGCCAAAAAAACATAAATAAAATTACACTTTCAACAGCTCTAAAAGCGTTTTTTGCTTCTATATCTAGGGACGTAAGTCTATAATGGGCTAATTTATTTATTATTAACATAATGGACTGGAAAGCTAGGAAAAAAAATCGTTCTATGACACCAGAGGGTTAGGATTTGGACAGTAAATTTTTCGTTTTTCTGAAATGTTGTTGAAACTCTGCCTCCCAATGAGAAACGGAAGGTGAGTTGCTTTTTATTTTTATCAGTAATTAACATATTTTAGTCCTTTATTTTAACATATTTTTTATCAAGGTCGGATGAGTCGTATTTCTTTGGTTGAACCCCATTTTTCAACATAATTTTGATTTTTATTAAAAAAATTAACACAAATGTTTAAAAAAAAGTTACATAACCACTATTACTTAAATTTTCGCTCAGATTCATACCATGACTTACATTTTGGTGATTTCTTCAACTGTTAATTGCAAGCACAATAATTCAGGGAATCTCACAATTTATTTAAGATATAAATTTTTAACTGTTTAACTATTTATGCTATAAACACATTTATACACTATGATTAAAATTACTTCAAATAAAAGTACTAGCCTGCACCTACAGCAAACAAATTATAGAGTGTTGAATATACATAATGAATGAAATTTAAGGACGGAATAACTAGGACTAATCACTTTGTACTATAAACAAACAACTTGTTTCGACATAACACGATATAATTGGAGCATATTTAGATTTTGAAATAACATCTGGTGTTAAATCCATCTCTTCTTGAAAACCATTTGGAAGCCTTCTCTTTTTTAAATCATTTCAAGCTCACAAAAAATCTCTGTTTTCCCACAGACAGAAATATTTGACTGGAGCTTCCACTTAAAAGAAAACCTCTGGATTCCAGTATTTTTATTGCAAACAAAATTACACTGAATGAAACTAACTAATGATATGAATCCATTTTTTAAAAGCGTCAGAATTAGAATTACATCTTTGATATTATTAAAAAATGTTTAAATTTAACGAAGTTCCCTATCTTGTTAATATGGGTTCTTTTAGAAATGCTAGACCAGACATTTTTTCTTTATAAATTTATAAACGCCGAGGTGTAAATCCTTTTTTAACGTTAGGAACAAAATTGTTGGCAAGAGGAAATTGAATTTTCACACCTTCAGCAACCCTATTACGACTATGTTAAAAATATTTTGTGCTTAAATTTTAGTTAACAAATCTAAGAACTGTTACATTATTCGTTTTTTTTTTAGAACTCTAATCGTAATACTAATCACAGGAAACGACAACTCTTGTTTCTTAGAATTAACTACATCAGTAAATTGTGACGAAAAATCCTAAACTGATACCAGATTCACACTAAGAAACAAACCAGACCGCCATAAAAAACAAATGAACAAGTGTGACCATTAAGTACCAAACAAACACTTACCCTCAAACTCTGCCCTCCCCCCAACCAGCTTAACCCCACCCTCAACCTTCTTCAGCCTCTTCAGATGTTTCCTCACCAAAAACGCCTTCTTTTTCCTCAAATCTTCCGGCAGCGAGTTGTTGGCAGCCAACAGTAACGTGATGAACGACAAAACGAACAAAATGTGCACTACAATCATGGCGATAATGAAAATTCAACTATTCTGAGCTAGAATGAACCCGCTTTTGTTTTAGTGACATTACAGCTGACCTCTTGTTTCACTTATCTCGTATTACTTAATTTGGAATAAGTCAAACAAAACAGATTCGCATTCGTGCCTTCAAAGAAGTCGTATCAAATTCCGTGACGCGCCATCCAAGCGGGTGAAAAAGTTTCATTTCGACAGCACAGACGGCTTGAAAATTTCAACACGTACCTCAATACCGGGCTAATAAACGTCAGGACTGACAAATAGTCGCAGCAAAGTAGCGTGGTTTATGCGGTTATAAAATTTTTAATCCGCGATTTCGTGTCGGAGATGTGTGGGTACATGTTTTATAAGGCGACAGGTGTCGAGTTGGGTTTGTCGTGAAATGAAAAAAGTAATGATTTAGATGTTTAATTAATTATCAAAAATCATCCTAATACAAAGTCAAAATGGGGCTAATTTAAAAAAGGGGTTTAAACAGTCAGGATAGGTCCGGAGGCGCGCTTCTTGCCCCACCCTGTTGTCATTTCGTAGAGATAAAAATTAAAACAGTCGTTGAAAAATATATAAATTAAAAACAATACAATCTTACATATTGAAAGTTAATGGATCTATCCTAATATTTGAGCTTAATCTACACAAATTCTTGGGCAAGTAATTTTTTGTTTAACGTAACGTACAAAATTCGGCCGTTCCTCTGTTCAAGTGAACACAAAGCGAGTAATTGTACAAAAATAATCAGTTTGTACCTAGTATTGAAATGCAGGTAGACACAAACACACAGACGAAATATCACAATAAAACAATATAATGGTCTTTTAAATACATCAATTCTAATCATTAGTGACGTGATCGTGGAATGAAAAACAAAACAACATTCAAATACGCCAACAATGCCCTACATTTTGTGACAGCTAACCCTTAACGAAATCCGTCCATTTCAGTAGATGACCCCTAACGTAATCTCACTTAAACGAGGTAATCACTATACATAATAAACAACTCACAATTTACAAAAACCAACTTAACTACAATATAAAAAATATATTTAAAAAAAATCATCTACTCAGATGGAGCTTGTGCATGCTTCAACACTTATATACAAAAAGTTAACAAATGAGTGTTAGCCTCGTCGAGCGGACAGATTGTGCCAAAACTGGGAAGACGAAGATGAGATGGGAGGGTGTATGGGCGTACGACACGTAGTTCAAGATTAGAGGCATCAGCTCTCTGTCGTTTGAGGTAACAAGGAGGGGTTGATGGGGATGGGCGTCGTCCGTGGCAGCTGCTTTTTCTGCAACAGAAAACAATCGTCATTTACACCCAACGAAAATTAAATGAATAACTTTTTGAGATGTCATCAATTTTTTTTTTTTTGATGAACGCAAATCACTGTTCAGTTCAGTAGTTTCCGAAAATTATCTCTAATAAAATCGCCAACAGACAAACAAACGGAAATGGGAGGCTTATCACAACACTCCCCTTCCGAAAGTAAAAAGTGACCCTGCTGGAGTTCAAACCAAGGACACCCATGCCAAAACGGACAATCGAAGACCTGAATTCAAAGATAGCTTGAGCTAACTGGGTTTGAATTCCGCGCTGAGGTACCAAATTCGTTAAAAAATGCGTGTACCTTTCGACGGAAAGGAAAGCAACCTTCGTTTTCGGTTGTGGTGGCAGGTTGGAGTATCAGGTCACTGGTTCTAGTTCCGTTCGCACCGAACACATTCAATTGTCTAAAACAGTCTGTTTCTAACATTTCTGACTGCCACGGTATGGAAACACAACCACTGTTGAATTTGCTGTAGAAGGAAGCGTCGCTTTCGTCGATGTTTACACCTTTAACGGTGGAGAATTGTTCGATGTCTAGGACGTCCTTTGCGTAGACGGCGTGAGGCTGTAAAACGAAAAAACAAGCCGGTTTTTTTTTCAAAAGTCAAAAAAGTCGTTGCAAGGCTTACATCTGGCACAAATGGCGGCTCCACCATCCCCGCTTCCAGCCGCCTCCAGTTCATGCTCTGGAAAAACGGGTGCTGTTTGACTATCCCAGCTCCATGCCTTCCGGCCTTCCCGCCCAACCTCTGCGTCGGACCCTTGGCTAACAACTGTTGGCACAAAGATTTGGCATCTTCACTAAACTTAGATGAGTACTTTTCCTGGTCGGACTTCACCCTTCTGTCGACCTCCTCGCGCTTGACTTTCTCCTTTCGGGCCCTGAAGGGCGCTTGACCCTCGATCATTTCGTATAGTAAACAACCGAAACTAAACCAGTCTGGACTGAATGTGTAGCGTTCATTATCTATGACTTCGGGTGCTGGAACGGGAAAAGTGAACCATCGATGGGTTTCGAGAAGGTGGTGGCTTACCCATGTAACCTACGGTGCCGACTCTACCTCTAACGAATTCACCTTCAGGGATGTCTACTGCTAAGCCTAAGTCTGAGATCCTTACATGACCTGCGTCGTCTAGGAGAATGTTCTCGGGTTTACAGTCTCTATATACAATGCCCTGGAAAAGGAACGGCGCTCATTTCAGAAGCAAAATTTTCTTTAGGGACTTGTTTGGGTTAGTTTCGGTGGGAAAAGTGGCATATAATTGTTTGCATGAACAGGAGCAGACTATTGTAACGATGTCGATTATGAATATTTTGGGGGTTAACGACGAACACACGCAACGATAACCATTTATTTAATAAAGGATACCGCTTCTATGCGGCCCCATTGTCCCTAAAAATCTACACCGAGCTCTAAAAATAAAAAATCAAAAATTAATACCTCGTTCCCTAGATAACCAGTAGCGAGGAGCAAAAAAGCGAGCATAAATTCGCCTCGCATATTTCCCTAGCTGCGAAATTTCCATTTAAACCCTCCATTTTCACATGCAGTAAAATTTGCACATCCACCGCACGACCCTGGAAGCGATAAACTCCGGACTTAACGAGACCGCAAACAACATCTTATCTGGCGTTGTTTCGTTGTTTGTTTGGTCAGGTCGAGAATTCGTCAAATGAAAAACCCAAAACGCGAAAAGTAGAAATTCGGGCGTTGCTCTATCGGCACAACTAAGAAATTTATTGGCCCTAATTGAAACCGCAAAATTCCCAAGCCTGCTGTTAGTCGAGATGACGCAGCCGGATTGGGAATTAGGAGGTCTCCGTTCTATTACAGAACCAAGGTCTTCTTATCTTCCCAAAGAAATTATTTCCAATGCGGTTTACATTTTGTCGTGTGTTAATCTTGAACGACCTTCCGCTCGGGAAAAATCAATAAGGGTAATAAAAAGAAACCAAGCTGGGAGCAACCATGGCTATTACTTGAGAGAGCGAGGAGAAAATTCAATTCCAAGTGTATCGGAAGAGATGATGGGTGGCAGAGAGACTGGAACAATCACTTCGGCATTTTTAAGTGGGAGAAAAATTGACTAGAGTGATTTGTGGCTCTTTTAACTAGTTCTTATCATGACGTTCTGTTTTCCTGTTTGTGCTGATTTGGGAGAAAAAATGGGAGTGATTTGTTAACTGCGGTGATAACTGTGACATCCTTTCTTTACATTCGGCCGGAATGACCGTCACGTATCAGACAATGTGGTTTAAAAAATCACATTTCCGTTTACGAATTCTAGACAGCGATGCCTAATTTAATACAACCTTATCCTTTGAAGGATTTTGAAAGAAAGCCAAGTAATTCCGACACAACCTGCAAAAAGTGACCTTGTTTCTTGATCTTGAATGCCTTTTCAAAGTTGGATATATTGTGGCAGGGCGAGCAGTTAGATGTCGTTTAAAAGAGGCGGAGCCACACGCAGCTAAACCAATCAAAACGCCATCTTCCCAGTACTGTTTACTATTAATTTTATACGCAAATGCTGCTATTTTTAGACACAAAAATAGATGAATCCAAAAAGGCACAGAACTTTGTAAGGAAAACGAAAGACAAAATTAATCGCACAAAACTTACACAACAGCCACGACGAGTGTCTAATACAGCTTTCATTGTCTTTACTTACGTCAACAACAATTAGGCTCCCATAAGTCTTACGAGTTAATCAATACGTTGGATATTAGCCAACCCAATTCAATTTGTTTAATTACTTTGAGCAACAAGCAAAACAATTAACAATGGAAAAAATATCGATTAGAGGTGACATAAATTTACAGTTGGGTGCTATTGTGGTCGATGTCGTGATATCATTAATTTTCTTTTTAAAATATAATACCATAGTTACCAAATTTTTTAATTGACTGAAAAACCATCAATGGGTACTAAGTTAACAGGACCACATACGAAAAAGGCTCGACGTAATGACACAATTTATAAAATTAAAAAATCGCATCTATCACATAGGCGGTGATATCTTCACTTCAAACGACTAAAACTCCGAACGCAACCTATAAAAACCGCCACCCCCGATGCAAATTTCCGCCAAACTTTACAAAATAGCCTGTTTGAAAAATGAGAACTTCACTCTAACCATCCATTACCCAAAATCATTTAGACGATCCGGCGTCGACTCTCCATTTTAATCCAATTATTTACATAGTTTAACATCTTATTTGCGTCCTAAAATCAAATTACAATTTTCTAGTCGAGTTCTTTCGCATAAAGCCCAAATTAAAACAAAGTACCCAACCTTCCAGCTTTCATCACTCCCCAACTTATAATTAGTTTACAGCGATATCGAAACTAAAAAAAAATATAAAATCACGGATCTCGTCGCTCAATCTCATCACTTGCCAGTTTATTTGATAAGGGCTATTTATTTAACCTGTCTATTTTCGTCGAGTTTACTCTCCGTGGCGTAGCCGGTTCCGGATCGATTTCGATGTCGCGATTTTCGCCGACCTCGGGGTTTGACAGCTTCCGATCAAGCGACAAACCGTGTTATTTAAAATAGTCGACATCGATTTTCGATAAACGCCACTGCTTTGAGCTTGAAGGTGGCACGCCGATTTGATATACATCGGATAAAATTAACTAGGCGGCGGTTTGTTGGAGCGGAGCTCCCGCTTTTAAGACTTCTGGATAAGCGCGATTGGCCCTTGCTTTTTGAAGCCCGCCGCTTTGTGCCTTTGTTAACCCCTTTTCTAATAAGGCCTCGCTCCGGCGTTATCGGTTTATGTTGAATGACGGTTCTGCTAATGCAGACTCTCTTTCGCTTTTCCATGTGGCCGTTCTGCATTTATCGCAGAATCCGTCAAAACCACCGAACAAACCCCTAATACAAACCTGCTGATGCAAATGGTCGAGCCCGCACACGACCTCTGCGGCGTAAAATCGTGCCCTCGCAATATCCAGGCCCGGCTCGCCGCCCATATTGTAAATGTGGAACTTCAAATCGCCGCCATTCATTATCGTCAATACCAAACACAGGGCGTCTTTCGTTTCGTACGCGTAGGCAAGATTTACGACGAATCTCGAATTGATCTTCTGTAATATCTGCTTCTCGATGAGGACCATCGCTTCGCCTTTTCGCTTTTTTATCCGCTTCTTCTCGAGTTTCTTGCACGCGTACATCTTTCCGGTCGCTCTCACCTAAAACAAGACGAGATTGGTTAAACACTTGAGAAAATAAGGGATCGGGTTTCAGGGTTTATTCGAGGAGGGAACATGTAAGCTTTTACTCGTTCTCGGCTCGTGCTTTATGTCCGCTGAAATAAAAGTTATCTTGACTGGCGAAAGACTAAATAAAACAAGCCTGAGCATTTACTCGGTGACCACAATTTGATTCTCAGATTCTTGTTTTGTCGTGACTGAAATATTCAGAAGGATGTTAAAGGATATAAGCAATAAACCTCCGGGGATGTTCAGAGACACGAAACTCAACCTAAGCTGCGAAATCTATAGTTTTGCAGCGTCCAGGATGACCAGGTCCTCCACACAAAAGACGAGGTTTATTGCTTTACATTCCTCAACGTCTCGGTGGAATTTCAGTTGTATAGATTGATGGATCCCGCACTCTGAAGCCCTGGATTTTCTATGTAAATGTATCTTAAAAAAACATTTAAAACGTTGCTCGGACGACAGAATCTCGTCTCATCCTTCCGCTGAAAAAATCCTGTGCCAATCACTCCACATTTTTTGCGTCAAACACCACTTGACAAGATGTTTTGTTACTTTGAAGCACGTTGAAAATATTTCGTCGGTTACTTTAGTACAAGAGACGCTATCTAGTTTATCTGCAGAGACATTCGTAATTGTTTCTCTTACATATAACCGTATTCTGTAGTTTTTCGTAAATTATTACACAGAATAGTAAACACGTCAAAGATTTATTATAATTTGCTTGAATACATTTGAATATTGGCTTCAACGGACGATATTTTGTAACATCTTGATAATCTACGTAAGTGACTTCGAGCATTTGCTTTATCATGAAATTCCCTCAAAAATTGTAAATGAGAATTGACGACGCAGAAAATTACTGTTATAATTTTATGGACTACAATGTTTCCCAAGACTTCGCTACATTAAGCCGAGGAAAAAATAGGACAGTTCGGATTCTTCGGCCCCGGAAGATGTAGGGCCTCGGCACCGCCTCGACTCCATAAGACCTTTATTAAAAAATACATTTCGCCCGTCCGACAAAGCGCTTTTTGACGGTTGCACAGAAATTCGTATTTATGGCACGGTTTGTGCGCGTCTCAATTTTGCTAGACATTCAGCCAAGATAATTTTTTATCAGTACTTCCTGAAACAAATTGAGATAATAAATGGGTTTTGTGCGTGCACGCAAAACACAGAGTTTATTCACACGGCTCGGTATTCCACAATTATGACGTAGACGTAGCAGTAGATGGTTCACAATCTGCGCCGTTTATCAGTTCTAACCACGAAGAAAAGTAAAAGTTCATTCTCTTGTAGCAGCGTAATGTCGTTTAATGTTGGGGGAAAAAGGTAAAAGGCACCATTACGCTAATACACCGCATAGTAATCTGCTCGGGTATAACTCTGAAGCTTTTTGCTGGTGGCATTAGGGACCGACATCAAAACCAAAACTTACACTCTGATTTGCATTGCGAGTTTCTATTTGCGAGATGGCTCTTCATGTAGAATACTCGAGACAATGTAGACGTTAGATTTAACGGCGCCTTATGGTCGGACGACGTTTTACTTCGACATTTTGCTTTGGTAGCTCATCTTGTGTAATCCTACCAGAAGTATTTACTCGGGTTTTTTTCAAACCTGTTAATATTTACTTAGATGAATTCCCTTTCACTACAGAAGTCTCAATAAACAACGTTCGCCGTACATCACTTTATTAACAATACCGCTTCCATTATCCCAACCTTGAACTTATCACTGAACCCCAATTGTTTATGCTCCATCATTTCTATTATCACCGCCGCTTCTCCTTTAAACGATTGGCATTTTATTTTCTACACACTTACTTATTCATATCGGTTCATCGAATTTTTGCTCCTCACATTCCTCGCTTTTCTCTTTCAACGTAATGAAATTTTCGATGATGGAGTGCAGCAACAAATTTTAATAAGCCCCAAACCGGATATGCGCCATAAATTCTCATTGACCCAATCATCGATTATTGATTTTGCACCACATTTGTATGCATCGAACGCGTTGCTAATCCTTGAATCAAAATGAAAAACATGAATCGTCCAATTTATATTAAACTCCCCTAGTCGAGCACGCGACAACAGCATGCGAGAGCGAATTGGTCTTCAAAACTACGACAAAATTATAGAGGAGTGTTTAATAAATACAATGTTTCATTGCATTTACAATTACAAATGTACGCCGATGTGTTGATAATAAAACGATTTATTTATTCATGTTTAAATTGGACGTCAGTTGCCGATTCATTTTTAAACGCCGTAAACGTCAACATAATTGTATGCATACTTTTTAAATAAATTAAATAAAGATATGTTGGTGTGTCATCGTTATAATAATAGTGGTAATAAATGGTAAAGATCAGTGACAGTGTCAAGGTCGGCTAGTGATTACCGCTTCGGAGTGTTTTGGCTGTTTTCGACTTCACCATCAAGGTTTACGCATTTTTTGCGTTCTCATTTTTACCGCCGAATCGATCATAACTTTCCAACGTTACTTTCGGATTTTTTCAAATTTCGCGTTCTAGTGAAAATATACAAATTTTAATAGATTGTTTACGACCACGAGTGATACTCGGCAGCATTTTTAAACGATTTCATTTTTAATTAACACAAATATTACGATTTAAATATTTATAATTGCGATGTCAGTTTTATCAGTAAATTTTGACACTTGATATGATCGCTGTAATTGCCATTTTATTACTGTTAATAATAACCTTTCAATAAAATACAATGTCTCGAGCGTCATAAAGTGACGGTTTGATAAAAGAATAAACATTAATTAGCAAATTATCTACGAAACAGTAAAAGGACCTTAACACAGAAACACGACAATTAAAAATCATTACTGGATATCTAAGTACGGCGAAAGCGAGACTTTTGTACTTGAGTTAGGACTTCAGTCGCAAATTATATTTACTCATTTAGAGGTTTTCAAGTCGACTAAAGTTTTTTAATGGTGCCTATTTCAATGTAAAATTTTTGCACTGGAAATAACTGTTCGGAGATTTTTTTTAATGGTAATATTTAGGAGAGGGACCTGCTGAACCAGCGCGGGAAAAATTTAGAACGCCCCTGAGAGGCCGAAATTTGACTTTTTTTTTAAGTAGTTTGGAAGAATCTCGGGGACCTTTTGTGTCTGATTTTTAAAGTCGTTTGGAAGAATCTCCAGGACCTCTTTTGTTATGTTGTTGAAGTGGTTTGAAAGAATTTCGGGGACCCCTACTGTTTTGTTTCTGAAGTAATTTGAAAGGATTTCGGGGACCCCTTGTGTCTGGTTTTTGAATTAGTTCGAAAGAATCTCAGGGCCCCTTTTGTATTGTTTTTGAAGTAGTTGGAAAGACCCCTTGTGCCCGTTTTTGAAGTAGTTTGCAAGAATTTCGGGGATCCCATTTAGTTTGTTGTTGAAGTAGGTGAAAGAATCTCGGGGATTGATTTTGTTTTGTTTTTGAAGTAGTAGAAATTCGGAAGCCGCGTTTTGATGTACCACGACTACTATTTTTACAGGTGGCCCCAGCCGCCCCTGATTATATTTATATTTTCTCCAGCGGCGAATACAAAAGTTTCTCGTTTATATTTCTTGCGAAAGCTCTTCGCGGTTTACAGCATTTCGCTAAGCCTTCTAAATTATTTATAATTTGTGTAAGGAGTCTGATGTTATTCTATGTTCCATTAAGTTCTTTATTTATTAAACATTTTCGCCATAATTTATGTACAATGCGATAATAATATTAACTTCGAGACATTAACCTCGGGAATTACAAATTACAACAAAAACTGATTTAAGTATTTACTTCATTGTTTCCACAGGAGCGTACTTAACTTGAAAATCCCCGTTAACACGAAATTTGAGTTAATGTCAGAAAAAATTTAAACTCCATTAAACTCGTTAAATCGGTTCATAAATGCATTCAGGCTTCAATAGCAGCAGTTTCATTAATGTATTTGCCGATTCGAATGCATCTGATAGAGTTCCGGGAAATTCACCATTTCCATTCCAATTATTCCTGTATTATTAATACATAAATGAATGCCAATTATGAACACGATTTCTTGGAAATATTTACTTTTCAGCGATGATTTTGTTCGTCACATGAAAATAATTTCACACATTTTTGCAAACAATCTTAGCAAAATGAATCTTTAAATATTCAAACCCAAAAATTAAAAAACTTTGTAAAGGGTTTGTTTAACTTCCAGTAAAACAAGTAACCAGAAATTACTTCACGTATTTAAATTCAGATAAAGTAAATGAACAAAATGAGCTCATTTGTAGAAACGACGGAATATTGTTGTGTTTAATGAATAAATTATTTTACGTACTGTGGGAACTGCGAATTGAATGCACTTTGGATTTAAAAAACGCTTTGTTAACGAGTCCGACCGGGTGAAGCCGTTAACAAACAATTATTTTAAAATTAGAAGAGCCGGTTTGATGAATAATTTCGCACATTATTTTACGAAAATTAAACAAAAGGTTTAATTGTCTTATGTATGCATAAACCCGAGCTTCGCTCACTACGGGTGGCTCGCATCAGCTTTCTTTATAAAAATTCAGTTGAATGCTTATGCAACACAACGAGAAAAATAAGTGTTTTAATAAAGCTACGTCGTAACGATGAAACGTCGAAATCTTGCCAGGTGTTCGATGCTAGAGAAAAGCGTGATAATCATACAATAAGAGCATCGTCTGTGAATATTTTATTAAGTATGTAATCGTCTTGAGAAAATTGATCACGATATGACCGCCAACGTCTTTGGAAAATTACCACACGATATTGTTATTGTGATGAATAAGCCTAGTGCCACTCTCGACAAAACAAATCAGGCGAAATTTCACGAAAATGATTGTACTTTGAAGAATCATACACAAAACGTCAATTATTAAAACTACTTAATACAAACAATCGAAACTGTGTTATTGACGACCTTTAAGTCGTTGCGTCGACATTATGAAAA